AGTGGATTAGGCCAAAAAAAAAAGTCTCCGGTTTCTGGTAAGCGCGCGCGTCGCCGTAGCCATGCGCGTCGGCAAAATGAAAAAGTTTTTTTTTTAATGAAATATGATGTCTCAAAACCGCCAAACTCACTGGTTTGAATGGAATCCTGCTGCTGCACAATTTTAACGTGTTTTTAGATTGGGTTATGGTCGAGAATAAGCTTTATGTGGCCTCTCTGGAATTCCATATATTTGCACTAAGTTTAGTCAGGCACCATTTGCAGTCATCAGCCGACATTTGAAGCAAAAAATCAGGTAAAAAAAAAAAGAAGCCGCGTCGCCGCACCACTTTTTGGGCAAGCTCCATGCCAGAAACCGTAGACTTTTTTGGGCCTTAAGTAAACAGTCGCCCCATCGTGCGCTATTTCCACATTACAATATTAAAACTAAAAGGTATATGTATAGCTCATGGCTTGCGAAGAAGATGCGCAACGTTTTATAGGGAATGTACAACATTTGCTTTTGCTGCAATTTTCAGAAAAAACATGGATTTGGAGGATTAGTATGTTATAGCAAATATTGTTGAACTGACTTGCTTCATGTTTTGGGTTCGGAGATGCTGGAAAATCCAGGAAAACCAACCATGATCTTGTAGTCTGGTTCCCTGACCCCACTTAAGATGAAACGGAGCAATTTATAGACTTTGGGGAATTGTAAGGTCAGAGACTCAGTCTAGCAGGCTTGTACCATTTCACAGGTACATGTGTAAACAATTGCAAAGAAAATGCGGAATAACTAAATATGAAAAATTAGGAGAACTTTTGAAAAAAGCCAGTTTTCTCCAACGCTGGTCCGCCGACCAGCGTTGGAAAAATACAAGTTTTCTTGAAAATGTCAGCACACTAGGAACCACGATTTTACAGGATTCTTTGGACTGTCATTCCCTAACAATCCAGTAAGATATTTCGTGATAATTTGATCATTTCGTTTTTTGATGTTTGCAAATGTTGTATCTTCCCTTTAATGTATTTCCTGAAAATTTCAGACAAAAAGGGGTCTTCACTCCTCCAATTTAAAAACCAAATGGGGGTGGGTGGGTGTGGCCTCCGTTGCCCCCCCCCCAGATTTGCCAATCGTAGCAACTGAAGAGTGTTGTATCGGTAGCAATAAGCCTCTGTACTAATAACGTCACACTTTGTTTACATGTGCACTTTCTATGGAGCCAGTGGGGGCCCACGGTCCACTGAGCACCATTGCAAAGCACACACGTAAACAAAGTGTGATGTCATTAGTACAGACTACAGAGGCGTATATTTTCACTAACGACGGTACATGACGCAGCTGTGAAGATGTGGCCGATTTGGAAATGAAACCTTCCGAGACTTCGAAGAGTGAAGTGACCGTCAAGAGAAAAGACTCTCAGGAAAACCAGAGGTGTGAACTTATCACTGCCGGTGTGGTCTGGCCCTCTCGGGAGAATATACGATGTGACGTCACGCTGCCCAATCTCGGCCCCCCTGAACAGCCCCTTAACATTATGACCGTAAACACAGAGAAAATATGTTGGCTCGCAACTCCATGCACAGCTAACAATCTGTTAAAAATGGTCCGTTATAACCTCAAGAAGTGCATATTCGTGTAATCCTTTCAGCGACGCCTGGTTGTTAGATATCTAGTCATTAATTAAAATATGTTTAGCGTAACTACTTGTGTAGCTATAGGGGTGAGAGAATTGGGCCACGCCTCAGTGGCCTAGGCCCCAACCCCCATTGGAGAGGGCCCAAAAATCTGATTGTTTAAAATAATAACCAACCTCATTGTGTGTTCCCTTAAGAAAATGGGGACCCCTATTAGAGGATCATTTGCATTTATCCAAACAGTAGGCTAATATACGGAATTATTATCAAAAGGTTACTTGGTCTACTGGTACTAAACACCCCGTGAGATTATTCCGTCTGGCTTGCTGTCATTTAGAAGAAATCGAAAAAAATAGCCGATTTTTAACTAACGATCAATAATTGACTGATTTTTGGAAATAAAGTAAGAGCGCTATTGACGAAATCGCCAATTATCAAAATGTTGTGCATGGTTTTCCACTGTTTCCTTTGAAAAGTGTAATATTAACTGAGCTGAATCTTCAACAGGTGAGTTTTGAACATTCTTTTTGAGCGGTGTTATTATCATAAACGAACAAAATCCATGAGAAGCAAATGAGCCTATCATGCCTGTAAGTGCCCCCTGCAAATAGGCCCCGCAGGTTGGCGCTACTCACCTTAATGGGCAAAACAAAAAGTGATGGTGTACTTTCACTGTCATTATTTCATGTGGAATTTTCCTTGAAACATATCCGCGGGGACAGCAGAATGTATTTCCCTGATGACTGCGTTCACGAATTATGCATCTTTCTTGAAGCCACGAGACAAGTCTAAATGGATACACCCGACGGCACTCAATTTCCCGTCTGCACTTTCATGAACTCGCAGACACACTCTTCCGGGGAAATACTTATCTTGATTACCAACAAGAACAAAATAGGAAAGGGCCAAAACATTATCCTCGACTTCCAATTCGTGCGCGAGGAGGAAGTTAGTGTACCATTATTATTTCGACTGAAAGGCCGAAAATGCCCCAAGATGTCCATCTTTATATTACCCCTTTTGTTCTCTCTCATGCACACTACAGATAAAAAAACCAGACACAGTGCACACGCACCCCAATAATGGACTTTTGCTATACCTCGTTAACGAGTCGCACGTTCTCATGCGTGTCTTCTGTCCCAACTAGTTAATATTTCTTCAAAATTGACGATGTTGTCAGCTTTTTTTTCCAGCCGCTGTTGGCATTTCATAGAAAATTACCAATCACTTCTGACCTTTTTAAGAACACTTTAGGGTGTGTATTTCAGGTCGAGTGATTTGATAGTAGCGATATTGGTTTTTAAGAAAGGCAGGAACATCGCGGGCATTGCAATCCCAAAAGTTTGAGAACAATGACAATTGGCCAGAACATCAACTAACCGAAATATAGATCCACAGATTTAAAGGCAGGATCGTTTGTATTTATCCCAAAGATAACGCTTTGAATTATATGTATTATCAAGGTAAAATATCGTCATGGTACTATCGTACTGTCATTTAGAAGAAATCAAGAAATGTAGGTGATTCCCAACCATCAGTCAATTGCGCCTTATGCACGAGTTGGCCATTTTTGTTGTGTTCCCTGAATGTATTTTACAAATTGTGAACTGTTGAATGGGATGGTGCCAGACTATTAATTTACTCTAGCCTCAATTGCATTTTTTTTTTTAAATGTGGCTTAAAAAATTAGAGTTTGTTTAATCACAAATTTTGAAGGATTCATCTGAGCAGACTGGTATTAATTTGTAACGTCATTGCTTTCATTTCTCTACACAAGTTCCAAAAATGAAGATTTTACCTCGCTCTCAATCCAATATGGCCGACTTGTGAATAAGGCCCATTGACTGATTACAGAGTGATATGCAGTGGACGAAATCGTGTTTCGCACTCGAAGGTTGTGCATGTTTTTCACTGTTTTCTCAAAAAAGTTGCAATGCCCACCGAGCTGCAACTTCAACAGCTTAGGTTTCGAACATTCTTCTGTGCGGTGTTATTATTGCAATCGAACAAAATACATGAAACATAAATGATCCTATAATAGTGTAAACCTTCGGTTAGTGGCAGCCCCAAGGATTTGTTTATCCAATTTCTTTTTTGGGAATACCTCATGATCATTGGCAATTCAGAGGGAAGGACGCAGTCATTTTAGTCGTACGCTCCCGATCTGACCTTTCTACATATTTCTACTTGCGTGGAGGAGACATGGGGTGCAGTGGAGCGCACTTATGAGACAACACTTTATCACTTTCATGTCATTTTGTTTAACTTACGTTAAGAAAGCACGTTGTTATCTTTCCCCCTTTTCCGATTCCATTTGTCTTATTACTGTACAGACTCTTTGGAGTTAAAAAAAAAAATCCAATATTTGTAGATAGCAAGAAAATATTATTATATGAAAACTAGACCTGAAGTAAAAAAAAAAAATACTATAGGAGTTTCGAATTATTATCTTTAATAATGCTTTATTGAACATAGTATGATGCTAAAACTTAAGTAGATGACGTTAAAACTTATCATTTTGTCGCCCGCGACGGTGGCGAGGGTTCGAATCCTGCTGAATGATTCCACGATTCTGTAAAACGTTGATTTTCTGGAGGGCCCTTGACCACGCTAAACTGGAAATTTCTGATGGACTTACTGCAAAATAATACACTTATTTGACATCAGGCCATCATCTCTGAATTATTGTTGTTATTTTCTTAAAAACATGTTATGAAACACGTCGTACTTGTAAAAGTTTGCTCATCGCGTGTCAGACATGGCGTTCCAGAGTCCAGTCGAACTAAATTATGCAGGTCTGAATTAAGCCCAACGATTTAGCAATTAGGAGTTACACAAGACTTCCATATAGATCGACATCTTGTGGTCCAACGGAGCGTCTTGAATTTAGAAGTCGCTGTACTGACCGGAAATTTGATGAAACGAAACCAAATTGTATTTGTGTCGATCCGAGTCGCTTCAAAAACTATACTTGGTTCGGTGCTATACTCCGGAACGCTTGTCTGAAACATAATGTTCGGAGGGCTCAACAATCTGTCCTCGCTTTTCAGTACAGTGTAAAGTCTCGTTTGTGTTTACCAATATCAAATTTACAGCAATATAACAACTTTTAGTACGGCAGATAGGCGATGGGATTGTGCCTTTGATGATACAGGCATGGCATGTGTCACACAGTCAGAGTATGTCATGGGAAAGATATTTGGCTATAGGGCCATCGCAGATTTGCCATTTGCAAAAAAAAATATATCGGTAGAATAACAAGCAATGGCAGCCATTTTGAACATTTTGAAAACTGATCGTTATTCTATACCTATATTTTTTTCAAAGGACAAATTTGCAATGGCCCTATAGCCAAATATCTTTCTTAAGACATACTCTGGCTGTGTGCCAAATGCCATGCATCATCAAAGGCACAATTCCCCCAAATACTTCCCCTATCTGTCCCACTATTCAGTTCATGAAACTCGTCATTATAAATTGTTCTTTGTCTCACGTCTACACTGCACCAATGCTCCATAGTTTGCGAACATCTGTAATGTCCTCGTAGCTTCGATGTGGTTCTGTCATATTATGACACCTCCTACTACGTCTCGTCCACTGCACAGTTTTCCAGTGAAGACCCACTGCAGTTCCTGAACGGCTCGACCGGGGTCACCCGAACCGTATTCACTTTTTCCGAGCAGATTTTCAACGGCGCCAGAATCTTACAAAATGCCGTCCTGAACTCTGCGTTGCGGTAGCAGTAGATGACGGGGTTGATAGCCGAGTTGGCGTATGCGGAGAACTCCAAGACTGTTTGTAGGATGAGGATGGTGTAAGAGTCCATGACGAGGAAAACCTCCAGGGAGAATTTCAGGGCCATGGGCATCCAGCAAGCTGCGAATCCGCCGAGGATGATGGCCGTGGTCTTGGTGGCCTTCATCTGGGCCCTGTGTTCCTGGACCGTCTGATGTTCCTCCAGGCGGTGAAGGGCCCGGCGCAGCGCGGCGATGCGGTTGGCCTGCTGCCGTGCCTTCCGGAAAATGTGGAAGTACATGAGCCCCATGGAGGCCAGGACGGTGGGGATGCCAAGAGCAAAGATGAGCATGAAGAACTTGACAGCGTGGGATGGCTCGTAGTCCACGGCACAGACGTCCGTCCCGGCCCCGGAACCGAAGTTCGGGATGGCACCCACCACTGCCCCAGCCACCCAGACGGCGATGATGATGTAGAGGTACCGTCTGGGTGTCATAGCGGTATGGTAGACTAAAGGCGTCATGATGGCCATGTAACGCTCAATGGTGATGGCGAGCAGCTGGAACATGGACACGGCGGAGAAAGTGAAAGCAGCGGTGAAGAACACCATCCGTGTGGCCGTGAAACAGGTGGTGTTGTTCTGGAGCAAGCGGCCGAGGATCGCCGTGGGAACCCCGATCAAGCCCGTCAGGAAATCCGCCACGGACAGGCTGACGATGAAGAAATTGCACCTCTTGCGGAGAGACTTCTCCTTGTAGACGGCGAGCAGCACCAGGGAGTTGCCTGACAAAATGGCCAGGATCAGGGGCGCGTAGACGCCGATGAAAGCCGCGATGAACTCGCTTGGGATCTGGAAGTGTTCCACGGTTCGGTTCACGTGGAGCGATGGTGATTCACCGGTCGCCATGTTGAGAGCAATCATGACACCAGCTGATGGCAGGGGAATGTTCACAGAAATCCAGCATGTTTATAATATTATCCACTTTGGGTTTGGGTTTTCAAGCAAACCATATCGACTGATTCGTAAACAAAAACCCGAGCAGCACCCGTAAAAGGAGTCTCACACCAACTGATGGTAGGAGGATATTCACTGTTATCCAGACACAGACGCGTTTCCAATAATTATCCATGCACCCATGAATTTGGCTTCCCAAGCAAATCTCATCGATAGATTCGTAACATCCCGAATGAGAAAGAATAGTTCGCCGGTCACATTATAAACCCAAGTCGCAGTATGGATGCAGCATCTTTTGCGAGGGTACTTCAGAAATCACTCGCCTTGCCTCGCAGCACACAACCCGAGCCAGTCCGGGGTATAAGCGACGCGGTGGAGAGCAGGTATCACCGTAAACCATGAGGGGGCGATCGTCCCGGGGGTATCTCAAAGTCCGATCCTGGTAATCAACCTTCGGGAAAGTCAAATACATTCAACGATCGCAACTCGAGTCAGGGGCCTCATGTCACGTCGCCTTAAACAAATAATGGTCGAGTTTTTCTGCAGTTGCATCGAGGACAGCGATAAAAAGACAGCATTTTTTCTTCGCATAAGTGGTTTTGAATTGCCACCGCTGAATCATGAATAAGGTGATTGCTTTTGAGGCGATTAAAGTCGGCTACAATTTCAGTCTCCATCGATCGACCAAAACAGCGAGAATTGTGACATGATCTCCGGACGGGCATTGTGGTTAGCTCAACTGCTGAAGAAAAATAATAGTGAGCAAATCCAGTCCAATGTACAACAAAAATCACCGTGAGTAATAGATTGATTCCATTCCTGGCAAAATTCACGCGAGAAAAACCAATAATTCCTAAGCATCGGAGATATACTAGACGACGCAGTTCCAAAGTCGCCCCAGTTACTCAATCACGCGAAGCAGGTGCGTCGCCGTGTTGATATAGCCAATTTTCTACCCCGTCAACCTGTTTCCGCCTTGACACCTCCGTTGCTCCGCTTCTTCATAAAACAGAGAGACCCCTTTCAACTAAGGCGCTGGACTCCTCTCTCGTTTCTTGTATGAAAAGGTCCATTTTTTTCAGAGTTTTACCGAGAAGAGACACGATTTCCCGTATCAATGACCTATTCGTACGTGTGTTCTCCCCACAAGTGTCATCCACGTGCACTGTGCGATATAAAGCGTGTCTGATGTTCCTAGGCACTCAAGCTGCCTCTGCCAATATTAACGCAATCACGATGATGTACGGATCTATAAGAGTGTCGTCCTATAGCGGCTAACGGCTGTTTCGTGCACTTGAAAACTGCTTGCAATACCCAATGGTTGGTTGATAACCGAAAATATGAAACAAAATATAATTAGATTTACTTCAACCGATCGATAATAATAGGTACAAGCTGTCGTTGCCATTTTTTTGGCATCTCGGTAATTTTACATGATGGCGATTGTATGGCGGGGGGGGGGGGGGTGATGGCGCATGCGCATCCATCATTTTGATCTCCTGTTTCATCATTTCAGCATTTTCAGATTTTCCCATGTTCGATGGGAACGTCTCATTTTACCGGCGTTTGGGCGAGATGTCAGGAAATTAATTTTGTCTCTTCCTGAACTCACATTTAGCAATGAGGACAACGAGCAACGGCCTGATTTTCGAACAACATAAAAAACAGACCCACAGTTTTTTTTTTAATAAAAAAACGTCGGAAATCAATACCATGTCAGCAGAGTATTGGAAAGTCACCATGGAAACCAGCCAATCATTAACATGTGGACCCAAACTTCATTGCTTTATATAACGATGACGTCGTTAGCCTTTGTTCTCGGTCGAGCAAAATTGTTCAGAAAATGCTCAATACTGTGAACTTTAAAAAGGTTGTCACGAGAAAGCGCGGGTTTTGATGGCAATATGTAAAATTTACCGAGATTTGTCATCAAATTAGTATGAGTGTCACTTAACTGGGTCGTGACGCATTCGATGTACATGCGTGACCGAATTCAAGACCTAGATACATAAACTAGCCGATAGATAGATCTACCGTATAGACCTTTATCGTGCTGAAACTATTTCAGTTATATTCCCTGTACTCTCCGCGCAATTCGGGCATGACACCCACGAAATAGAATTGAACTTTTAAATGAAACATCTAACGAAAACATTACCCAAAGATCAGTAACTGATATCTTCTTAATCAATGAGCCCAGGCACGGATCGGGGGGGGGGGGGGGTTAATCACCTTTGTCATTGTTTTGTTCATAGAAATTCCTTAAAAATAATGCGACACCCCCCCCCCCCCCCGCTCCTGCTCTGAGACCCAACAATATTATGCTGGTAATAATGTCCGCCTGTGTACAAAATATGGTTATAGCCAGGTTGGTTAGGGGGTATTTGTACAGTAGTCTACAATATGGGCTCCGTGCGCCAACAAAAGAGGGCGCCCTTTTACCTAGCAACGACGTCCCATGGGTGGGACATTTAGCTGGTTGACGCGCACCGTTCCTTGTGTGTGACGCACGTACACCAGGGGATTTGTACTATGTATACGTAGTACGGCCGCGCGTCGCGGCAAAATTGCAGTCAGGCAAGTGGCGTCGGTCGGGCATCCCCAATGGTCACCCCAACTGTACTTTCTTTGCCGGTGAGAGGGTACTTGTGAACGGAGCGGATAGTGTTACTTATTGTCGGATTTGAACATTGAAAGTGTGGTACGATATTGATTTTCGGAGGCCAAGTGTCCATCGAGAATTTTTTTGCTGATGAACCCCACCCCCTGCAAAAATTCCTGGATCCGCCCTTGGATCACCGCTCTTAATTCAAAAAAGCATAAAGAGCTGAGATTAGTAGATACATTTTTCAAGTTCAGCTACAGTTATCTTTCACAAATGAATTTCATATACGTTCATAGAAATTGTGAAATTAAATAAAACAATTATTAATTTCAACCAATTACTGAAAAAAAGAAGAGAGCAAAGGGAGTACGTATTCAAAGCCATTTAGTCGTTCATATTAAATACTTGTGGCATTTCCTTATACATTTTTTTCCTAATGTTAATAAAAAACAAAGATTTTTAAGTCGCAAGAGGTCGCTCTTCGGTTTCTCTGAAAAGCTGTAGGCATTGCTACGTGTTGATTTATTACTTGACTTCATGTAACCATTATTTCTGGAGGTATGTATTGTATATCCAACTGCGTTGCAGGAGTAACAATGAAAGTATGTACAAAAATAATCAATACAATTACACTAATTTTAAATATAATTTGCCCAAAATAAAAGTAATCCGTCGGCTTGGTACAAAACAAATTGACCACGACATATGAAAACAGAATTATTAGGCCTATGTTTGCATAAGCCACTCTTGTGTTCGATGCAAACACAACATTGGACTCTGACCCGCCGCAGTATAGTCATAATCCACACAGTTGCAAATTGGGTTGTCAACACTGGCGCCATTTTAAATCAACCACACTATAGTCTGCCTTTCCTGTTTTTGTTTTACCATTACTTTGAAAGATGCTACACGAGCTACCGTGAACGAAAACTGGAAAACGGGTTCTGTGACAGGCGCTTGAGTAGTCCACGGATGGACAACCCACTCAGAAGATGACGTTCACGGAAGAGTGCAGACCATGCATGATACACTGTCGATGAGTACAGCACAGCAAAGTAAGCATTCTAGCAGTGCAAGGTCTCCTCGTTCTGAAACCACGCGTTTATATTGTACTTCCGAGTTCATCTTCATTCACAAATTCCAAACCTGTACTTCCGTATATTCTCTTCCATATTTACCTATGAATCATGACCTGTTTCGTACCTCCATGCATAATCCTGTAAAAAAGGTCAGGAATACGGCCACTTTGATAGAACGTCACTGTGTAGAAATCAATCCAATCATGCATCCACTGAAAACCTTCGAACAACTAATTCTGCCAATATCTTGAGCAAATATTTGCCGAGAACTGATTTTTCTGTCGACTACTCTTCAAAGAACCCCGGGCCTAGGACTGAGTTTTTTTTTTTTATTGGGGGGGGGGGGGGAGGGGGGATTATGTACTTCACTGAACGACGTGCACAACATGATTTTCACCGAGAAATGTTAAAAGCCGTAGGATTTCAATGTATAGTTAAACCTAGCGTATGAGCTAACTCCACGGTTTTCTTTCCATCAAAATGCAATTATTTATACATTATTAATTTTAAGTAGAGCTTTAACTTAATAGCTTTCGTAAACTAATGGCTTCGGTCAAAAAAGTATTTTCACCCAGGGGCGGATCTAGCTCTCATGAAACGGGGGGGGATTGATATGAAGAGAGGGGGGCTGAGTGAAGGAGTGCTAGGACAGTCTGTGTGCATGCCGAAATCTTCGATACTTTCTCATAGCTGCACTCTAAGGAAATTTGAGAATAAGTTTAGGAACTTTAGCATTCCATATATTATTGTCGGCCCCATTTTACTATAGTATCATTCATAAGTCAGCGGCTGAACCGGGGGGGGGGGGGGCAACAACAACAACCCAACTTCCCCCAGATCCGCCTCTGTCATCCAAGAATCTCCAAAAATACGATAGTGACACTTGTTTTATTAGAACCGAATGTTTTTTTGTACCTGTACGTTTCAGATCAAGATTGGTCCAAAATGATCAAAGGTGCCAAGCGGGGTTTCTTCGTGCTTGGGGTGTGCGTCCTTGCACTTGCCACGGTATATCAGGTTCACGTGGTTAACCCCTTCAGCAGGTAGGTATTGCATATTTCAGAATTGCATCCCCTCTCACAAAAGACAAAAAAAGACAAAAGAACGATCAAAATATGTATTAACCCTCACTGACCTTAAACCTTGAGTAATTTCCCTATGAAATTCCACTTTCATTAAGTAAAAGGCCTGACCTTCTCCGGCACAATGGTGGTTTGTAATCTGAGGCCAAAAAAGGTGTTGTGACATTAATGTAACGTTTATAGAGGGCGCTATGGTAGTTTTACGTGGTACCTAAGCGACACTACATACATCACACACTTTTATAAAACCCACACAGTTTGCAAATCAACAACAGCAATCAACAACGTTATTGTATGACTTATTTGCTGCTTGGGATTGGTTCTCTGCGGAAATTTGTACAGCTTGCTCTTTCGATCAATTGAAGGTGTAGGTTCGTCTAGAAATTGCAAAAATTAGTGTTTCAGATTGTTTACTAATCACCAACCTATATGATAACTTAAAATGTAATTACGTAAAATGTTGAAGAAATAACCCCGATTGTACTCCCTTTAATATTTTAACTGTTTCTTACAAACGGTACTTTATCTATATAGACAAAGGTGCTGATTTTCGTTGCCGCTTCTTGGGACTCCATAACCCTGATATATACATATTGACGTCACGCTTTGTTTACATGTGCGCTGCATATGAGCCAGATGGGGACGAGAGCCACCAAACTCCCATAAGAAAGCGCCGATGTAAACAGAGCGTGAAGCCATTACGTTATTATGAGCATGATATAACAATGCAAATTGCCCATTACTTTCATCTCATAGTCACGAGGCAGGCCAGCGGGTCACCTACAAGCTAGGAGGTGGCCAGGCCAAAATTAAGCAGATCATAGAGAGAGACAAGTTACGACAGGCAGAGGAGAGCGAGGAGGAGCGGGACCTGGACGCCGAGAGACGCTGGGGAATAGGAGACAAGGACGAACACAGACTTGAACTGGCAGTAAAGAAGTAAGTGGAATTTGGTTTGTTTCACGGGTGTCGCCTAAACATATTGGCTTACAGCCACTCAAGGAGCGTGCTACACACTAGAAAGAAAAAAGAATGTAAAAAAAAATCGAGGTGACCGCCCACGTGACGGGCTCTCGACCAATAGGAATGGGTAAACTGTATTAGCTATTTATGAATAGTGCATAAATAGCATAAATAGGAGACAATCAAAATAGATAAACGATCTAATATTAATACCACACAATGGTTGGCCTCCATTGTCTGCTGCCACCAAGCGACGATAAATGTCCACCATAGACGGTTTACGTAAGCGGGACGTTGGCCTTTTACCGCTATTTTGCTGAGAGTATTTTTCTTGTCTGGTTGAAGCCCAAGCGCAGCGTTTTGTTTCCAAAACTCTCAAAATAAAGGCAGTTATGTACTGAGATGATTTTGCAGAAATGGTCAAGATTTTGTTGTCTAAATATTCACTCTGCTACTACCAAAGTTTTGTACAGAAAAAGATAAGACGTGCACTGTAAAAACGGTGCTTAGGATTTAAACACATTTCTAAACATTTATTCTGTACCCACTTTTTCCACACGTTCAGCATCATGACATGTTTAGATGTCCTTTTTCTGTGACACGCATTATCCGTTTGACATGTTCAATGAATAATATGTTTAGCATTTAAACACCTTCCTAAGCGCATTTAGATATACAATCCTAAGCACATGTCCAAAACGTAAACACGTTTAGTTTCACAACGTTAAAAAGTGGTAAGTGTTTAGAATAGAAACACATTCCTAAACGTTTTAAACTCTAAACACGTTCTGATGTGTTTAAATGCTAAACACTGTTTTTACATTGTGGACTATATAAGGCAGCGTCAGAATCACTCGGCTACGACTGGCAATAGCGCACGAGTCTATGGGAAATGGTTGCGCCGCCGCGCTTGTCAGTAGCTTACATAGGTGAAAATGTGATGTACAGAAGCCCAGTTTCACGCAAAGCATTGTGGGAAACAAGATGGCGCAGCAAGAACCCACACATATGACTGACCCAGTAAGCCCCGCCCACTGCGCACTGGGCAAATTAACACGTGCAGCTCTCCAATGCCACACTGCATTTTCCTACCGCGCGCATCATACGCCCGTGCACGCATGTCGGACTTTTGTGCACGCACGTCGGACATAAATCACGGCTGTGATTGGTCAGAACACCATGGGGCGGTGCTTACTGGATCGGTCCTTTGGGAACGAGGTTGGCTGATGCCTCGTCTCGATCATTCTGACTCTTACCCCAGACAGGTCAACGCCAAAGTCATCACGCTTAAAGACCTGCCAATCACAGACAAGGTCAACTGGAGAGAGTACGAGAAGAATATCACCGAGTGGACGTGGAGACCAAGTCACACAAACATCACAAGATTTAGGTTGGTTTAAGGTTCAGTACAAATAATGGTTTTTAACCGAATTTGCTCTCGTAAAGTTCCTAGCAGCCGATTTTTCATAGAGCTGCAGAAAGTTTCCTAAGCAACTGAAATTTGCTAAGCACGAATAATATTTTAATCAAAATAACAGGTACCTGCCGAAACGTCATGCAATGTGCTGATAGACTGGTTGTTAATATGTCACAGCTGATTTTTGTGGCTTGTGCATGGATTGCAAAACAATATTTTTCTGCTTAGAAACTTAACGAATATTTGGCCCGTCCTTTATAGGCAGATGATCATTAAGAAAAATGATGGCACAATAAAACAGTCAGTGGCGATGTGACTGTGAACATGGGTTGCATACTGAGTTGAATGATTATGGGATAACGGAGCTTAGAATTCCTATTATACAGATACAACCTGCAGTGTTTGCACGGCGCTAGATTCCCTAAACGCCGCTTAAAGCGGCCACAACAAACCGCCCAGTTGAGTACTACTGGCGGAGTTCCTCCTGGACCTTGTATTCTCATTTGACCTTTTGGTCCCAGCAGATTTCTCTTAATTGTCGCATTCTGGATAAGTAAATATTATTCCTCGTCAAACGATTATTATTTCCCACCGTCAGAAAGGAACTGAGAGCGGCCAACATTGACGTCCAAGGGCGCTTCGTGACGTCCAATGCGACGCGCAAAGCCGGCAGCAAGATTACCACTTACCTGTCCCGAAACAATGTCACGCTTACCAGCCCGTTCACCAGGTATCAACCCAAGGTACAAAAATCTGCTCGAAAAATCACATACGTCTGAGATATTACATACATGTATTGCTATTATTGGCCCAAACCGAAAATAAACAAGCGACATAAAGATATTGCTTTCATGCAAATACACATTTCAATATGCATGACGTCATCTTAGTAACAGTTTTAGCATTATTGTGTGGTACAAAAATATACCCGATAATTTCCAGACGACATACCCGATAATTCTGACACAGGTTAACCATCCTTTTTCATCATTTTATTGCGATTTCAATCGTGTTTGATTACCTTTTCAGCAACATTCAGTGTTATTTCAGTATATTCATAAGTGCAGTAGCCACGTCGTCTGAACTGTTTTCCCTCCATTTTAATTGTCTATAGGTGTCGCCCTTCGATGGCAAAGCCTTCAAGAAATGCAGCGTGGTTGGCAACAGTGGCCTGCTGATTAACAGTGCGTGCGGCCGCGAAATCGATGTTGCCGACTACGTCTTCAGGTAAAACATGGTTTGCACGATAGTTGGGCTCCTCCTCAAATTTGAGGACCCCCAAAAAAATCCAGGCTGGAATTTATTTCGACAACAGCTTCTTTTTTTAGCTGTACATGCACGAACTTTTTCTTTCAAATTGGGGCGCAAATTATACAGGTCGAGTAAAAAAAACCGAAACCCAAATGTCGGGACTACTGTTTTAGTGAAGCTCTGCCTTTACCACTTTCAAAATCTAGGATATAAACGCCCAATTCATAAGCTTTATTTTAGTATAAGAATCATTCAAATCACTTGTTTACTTTTCAAGTTACGGAGTTTTAACTGAAAGAACACTGAACTTTTTTTGTGATCCGTGGACAGAACCTTAAAACGGTGGTTGTGTTTAAAATTTCGTAACTTAAAAAGTACACAAGTGATTTGAATGATTCTTGTACTAAAAGAAAGCTTATGAATTGGGCTTTTATACCCTAGAATTTGAAAGTGCTACATGCAGCACGTCACTAAAACAAAGGTCCCGACATTTGGGTTTCGTTTTTTTTTCACTCCTGTAGTTGCCCAGTTTCTGACATCCCGTTTCATTAATTTTAATACACTATACCGTTTCCCTTCAACCCAGTCTGGAGCCTTTCCATTGTTTCTTTTTTTTCAGGATAAATGTACCCGAGATGGACCCATACATTCAGGACGTTGGGTACAAGACCGATTTCACCACTCTCAATCCAAGCATTTTCAAGCGAAAGTGAGTGACTCTGATTTGTAATACCAAGTATGAGGGCAGACTGATTTAAGAATTGGGGATTTTTAAATTTTATTTACTTTGCCCTCTCCATATACTGCCATACACTAAACAGATAATTGGCTACATATTTCACCCGAAAATTGAATGAAATCACCTCAGTTGTTGGGTACTTCATGAAAAGATTTGCCACACCATTTTGGAGGAACTGGCAAATTGTGTATATGTAAATTGATTTTTGTTATAAGATGGAATTATTTGCGTCGGGGTGATATAAATCAAATTAGGTTTTGCCCTTCACCGACGTTCAAACACTGTATACTCAGTATGTTACATCCCGAGTGAAAGATTGGAAAAATCACTCAGATGGGACTCGAACCCATGACCTTCTGCTTTCTGATGATAAGACATCTGCACTAGAAAGCAGGAGGTCGTGGGTTCGAGTCCCACCCGAGTGATTTTTTCCATCTTTCACTCGGGAGGTAACACCCTGAGTATACAGTGTTTGATCGTCGGTGAAGGGCAAAACCTAATTTGATTTTTTGTCACAAAAGTTGGGCGAAAAGATCAGGAAATAATAGTTGTAGATGGATTGAGAGAACACATAGAATTCAATTTAAGATGCACTCTCATATCTACCAATGTGGGATCACAGAGTCTGCACAGACCGACGAACTACATCATCACGTGTTCAGAGCGGTCCAATCACCGTGAACATATCACCATAGTTACTAGAGGGTATCGTGTTTTGGCATCTTCACATACGGGTGAAATAAACAGAAAGTACTCCACACTTGTATTTGACAATTGATTTTGGTATTGGTATAAAAAACTCGGGATCGACAAAAGCTCTGTAAAGTGAGACTGGAATTATGAATTTTCACCTTGGTTTTAAAAATCTGGGCTTCACTCTTTTTGCCTTTGCATCCAGGTATAATTATTTCGCCAGCACACGTCTGACCGACAAATTCAACCAAGACATATCACAGTTCCAGGGCTTGCTGATGTTTCCATGTTTCAGCGACGCGGCCTGGGTGCCCATATGCACCCGGGCCCTGCAGCGATTGACGCCTAAGCAGTCCCTCAGCATCGCCTTCGGAGATCCGGACCAGTTTTCCCTGATCCGGGATTATTGGGTGACAAAGGGACTACAGAAGTATCCTTCCACTGGTGAGTATACTGGAAATGGTCGCTGGTTTGAAAGGAGGGGAAAGTTCCACTAGGCCAACCTTATCAAACATTATCTGTTTTTTTTTCTTGGTCAAGGTTTGTATCTAGCCACAGCCGCTATTGCTTTGTGCGAGGAGGTGCATCTGTACGGCTTTTGGCCCTTCGTGGATTCCTCCATGGCCCACGTCACCACGCACCCGGTCAAGTACCACTACTTCGACAACACGCACATGGTGCGGACCCACGACATGCAGGCCGAGTTCGAGCTGCTGACCCGCCTGCACCAAGTCGGCGTGCTGCGGCTGCACATTCAGGCCTGCTCACCGGAACGGGCCGGGTTGGGAACAGGTGACGGGGACATCGTGAATGGAATGAATCGCGAGCCCGTCGACAAGCCGCAGAAGAGGATCGTCATTGAGAAACTCTGGGACAATGTTTGAGCCCCAAAAGAGAGGAAAAGCAATCCTCTCTGCCCAAAAGTGCCTTTTTAAATTGCATTATGCCCTCACGGATGGCCTGTTAACTTCCAAGGCGACCAATTTAATAAGCTTCGAGGATAGACACTAACATCTATCCTCGTTTTAAATACAAACTTGTTCAAAACGTGATTTGAATTCTTGTTTGTAAATTTTTTGAATCGTCGTCTTAAAAAAACCGAACTGTTTTGTAGATGCTTGTATGTGGTATCATACCTTTTACTGCTTATGATCCACAGTCCTGGTGCCATAGAGTATTAACGACTGACTCGTCAAACATTTACAGTAATACTGTGGACACGCTATTAGTGGTAAGACCTCATACATATACCTAAAACATACAACTTAGCTTTACTGCTAATCAAACGGATTCCGTCATTTTGTAAAAACGGAGATCTGGAGTTAAGCCGATTCACCGCAGTAAAAACGTAGCAAACGGCATTGCAGAACTTTTCTAGAATGTAGGACTTTACTTCAAATCTCCAATCAATGTATGTTCTTCAATAATTCTTTTGAGGAATTTACTAATAACATGTACATACAGATCGTAATTTATGAAATCTTCCCAATTAAAAAAAACCCAGGGCAGTATACCCTATTATGTATGCGATAATACTTGAGTTTGCAGGCTGTGGTTGATTTGAAATTAGTATAATTAGATTTGAAATTAGATTTGAAAATGCGTATAGGGCTCTCTCATTGACCCACGTGACCCGGTCTACATCCGGGCACGGAAAGTCAGCATCGCCATTGTAGTAGGCAAATATCATATAGCGCCGTGCAGAGTTGGTAAAGTAGGCAAGCCTTTAACGCTGTGATAAATGGCAAAAACTGTGACGAAAAACGCAGAGCCAACACCCTGGACTTGGTCGGCACGATTTATGACAATTGCACACGGCACAATTGCCATTTGGTAAAGAATTTTACGATGCACGGCATGGTTGCTAACCGAACGCGTGCCTACCGTAATGGTGGCCGATCTTGGGCAAAAGTCATGGTCATACGACCGGACCCTATTGTAGATAATAGGCGGATGATACTCCGCTTAGTTTTGGGCAAGTTGCAGTTTTTATACATGGGAGGTTGGTTGTTAATACTGTCATTGCTTCGAAAGCATCGCTCCATGGAGTACATGCATGTCACGAACATCTTCGGTTAGAGCCTGCTCGATCGAAACATTTTCAAGAATATAATGATGACTGATGGACACACAATAGGCAATCAGTATGGGTAAGGTTGGTATGGAAACTGAACAAAGCATTAAGGCAACCAGCCCCCCCCCCCAAAAAAGTGAATACACAGCATTCGAATTTCTTAGGAGCTACCGTCTCGCGTCTACTACGTGGGAACACACTGATGATGAACGCAGCCATACCTATGGGTGCCGTGTTTTCAAACCTACGGCCTTCATCAGAGCGTATTGAAAATTACACAGCCATTGGCAGTTATTGCTCATCGAATGCGGTGTGTGGTCTACTTATAGATTCGTGCCATTTGAAAAGTCACAGGCGTTGTTGACGAGGCTTTTATTTCAAAAGCTGCATTAACGATCGGCTGTTTTATTTCTCTTCGCAAAACTTGAAACTTTATTACGAGATCGTTCAACGTTAACACGTGCGGATTCAGGTTGCACGATGAAGCTGATTCGATGGAGTGGTTTTATCATTTGCGCGTGTTTCTACGCCGAGGCCTGCCAACCCGGCCAGGAGAGATTCGGGGGATCTTGCTATCAACTCCTGACCGAGGAAATGACGTGGGACCAGGGTGATGCTGCCTGCTCGGAGATGGGCGCTGCTTTGGCCGTTCCTGACTCCTTGGAGGAACATCAGTTCATCTGGGAGATGTTCACCGGGAACGTTAGTGCGGGGAATCTATGGGTCGGATGTAATGACAGGGAGGAGGAAGGCAAGTGGATGCAGTCTAGTGGGGGAGGAGAATGCAACTTCTTCAAATGGGCACCAGGAGAACCGCGTGGTAATAGCGATTGTATGCACCTGTGGCGTAAAAAAAAAGGTCTCATGGATAACCACTACTGCAGCTCGCCGATGTCCGTCATCTGCGAGATTCCACCGCTTGCCGTGCCCACGATGTCCTGCCTGCAACGCTACGCCGACGCCCGCTCCTCATCACACTGCCTCACCAGTCACGTCATCAAGGAGTTCTCGGCAAAGGGTGTCATCGCGTGCGGCTCGGCGTGCCGGGATGATCCTCGATGCCGCTCCTTCAATCTGCGACGAGGCAGCCCCGGAGAGTTGATTTGTCAGTTGAATAACATCGCCCGTAATGAAGCCGACGTGAAGAACATACGGCTGGACAACGGCTGCAAACATTTTGAATTCTAAATGTTAAGCGTATGACAGCCACTCAACACAAAGTTGTGGCGAAGGTATAATCATTCGATGTACATTAAATCACAGTATGAACGTTATGATATTTTTGCACGGAGACATCAAGCAAGTACTTCTCTTTACGAAGGTGAAGCATCCTGAAACTCGAGAAAAGACAACATTTTGATTCCTTCAATCAAGCAGGGGAATGGTCTGCATTCAGGAAATGACACTCAATTGCTTCAACCTCCGTTGTAGTTCTGTGGGCATTTTCAACCACAATGGCTTGGTTTAAACAGCACTCAAAAGCATAAAATCCTGTTTGTGTCCCGTGGTTTCTATAAACCCAGCCTTTCCCCGTTTTATCGAATTTCCATGGTCTGGCAAGTTTTAGTATTTTTGGTCATCCCCCACTAGTGGCACGGATTTACGCAAGTGCTCACTCCACAACACGAAACTCAACAGGCACAACAAAATTGGATCGATATGACCTTTTCCTAGCTATCTAATGGCTAATAGGCACGCAATAGCCAAAGAGTTGTCTATGCGCCTAGCAGTAGCGAATCAACGTGGTTACGGTTGCCAAAGAAACCAAAGAATCACAAACGGCGTCTTAATTTCTTAATCAGAGACAGAGGCTATGTCTAGGTCTTACGATGACGTGGGCAGATACTAACTCGAAGACGTAGCTAGATCTAAGCGTTGAGTCTTGGGCACGTCCTTAATATGATTTTAATGAAAACTGCGCAGCCATCTTGGCAATGACTCCGTTATGAAACGATAGTTTCTGGGAAACAGATCAGTGCCATTTCAAATATCACAGGCGTTGTTGACGAGGGTTTTATTTTCGAATTCTACCGAGACTTTCTGCAGTGAGACTTTCTGACGATTGGCTGTTGCATATCCTCGGTGAAAACAGGAATTATCTTGAAATAATATTGTTTATCCTTAACACATACTAACTCGGGCCGCACGATGAAGTTACTTTGGCTGAATATTGCGATCATGTGTGCGTGTTTTCACGCCGAGGCTTGCCAACCCGGCCAGCAGAGATTCGGAGGTTCTTGCTATCAACTCCTGAACAAGAGTATGACGTGGGACCAAGGTGATGCTGCCTGTTTGGAGATGGGCACTGCCTTGGCGGTTCCCGAGTTCATGGATGAACAAAAATTCATCTATAAAATGTACGGAAAGAGTAAGGATCTCTGGATCGGATGTAATGACAAGGAGCAGGAAGGCAAGTGGGTGAAGTCTGGGGACGTGAAGAAGGAGAATGCAACTTCCTCAACTGGGCACCAGGAGAACCAAATGGGGAAATTGGTTTCGATTGTTTGCAACTGCGGCGTATACCTAATCGCATGGACGACACTCTGTGCAGAATTCGAAAGGCCATCATCTGTCAGAGTCCCGCTCCGCTTGCTACGCCCAAGATGTTCTGCCTGCAACGCTACGCCGACGCCCGCTCCTCATCCCACTGCCTCACCGGTCACGTCATCAAGGAGTTCTCGGCCACGGGTGTCATCGCGTGCGGCTCGGCGTGCCGGGATGAGCCTCGATGCCGCTCCTTCAATCTGCGACGAGGTGACCCCGGAGTGTTGATTTGCCAGTTGAATAACATTACCCGTAACGAAGCCGACGTGAAGAACATAGTTACGACTGGACAACGTCTGCAAATATTTCGAATTTTAACTGCTCAACGTTCTACAGCCGTTTAAAGGGGCATTACGGCCTGAAATCCCAGAATATTTCTTGTTTTGAATTGTTAACTTTTCCTTTTTCAAAGGCTTAGTTGAAAAGAAACTTACCTAATGTCTTACCGTTCTCGAGAAAAGACGAAATACATCGGACGAAGCGGACAGTTTGTGGAATGAACATACGTATTTCAAGCCGCCTCTATTCAATGACCTGAACACGTCGTGTGCATGTTACTTGATCCACACTGCATCAATACACACATATTGTTTCTGTTGTTTCTTACAAGTCCGCAGAATGCGAACGACTTTGCGGCAGGATTCACAGCTAACTGAACAGGTCAATTTGTTGCAGTCAAAATTGTGACCCCGAAATTCGTTCTCGCAAGAATAATGTCCTTTTATGTTTATGTCCTTTCAAATGCTCGTTCCAAGTGATATAATTTCAGTCAAAACGCGTTTTGTAGCCCAATTGGGCGCATTCTAGTGTCTCTTTAACGCAGATTTGTGGCGTGGGCTTAACCATTCGATGTTTATAATCGCAGCAGATAAACGAAATCGTTCATTTGTAGGTAGAGATTTCAAGCAAGTGGATCTCAACATTAAGGTGCAGCCTGTCCTGACACCCGAAAAAACCCATTGTGATTGCTTGAATCAAGCAGGCGGAAAGGGGCGTATCTAGAGATCAGACTATAGGGGGGGGGGGAATCTGGATATATAGCCAGAAGCTAGATAGACTGTAAAACGTCCCAGGTCAGATTGACCCAGAATACGGACTCTTTCTGGTCGAATGCTTTACAGGGTCAAAACTGACACTTACCGGGTCAAAATGACACCCGCGACAGAAAACCTTGCGCTCATGTGTACGACAGGTTACCAGCTGATTGTGTTGTGGTTTAAATTGATTGTAAATGGTTCTCTGCACGACACTTGATTTTTCACGGTAACATTCTGTAGTTTAGATATGGCAGTGAGTCACCACTTTTTTGCACATTGTACTACGCGTATGACATGAACAAAATTTTAGCTAGCCAGAGAATGATTCACATTTCACTGCAGTTCCGTGTTTTTCCAATTGTGAATGATGTTGATTTGATTGTACATACAATTCACATTCAGTGTTGGAGCGCAAAATTTTAAGCTGATTGTTTAGTTATTGATTTGACGTTTTGGTTGGATTTGGGTCATAATTGACACTTCTCTAGGTCCAATAAAACTTCCCTTGGTTAATTTCCGGGCCAATTAAACCAAAAACCTAAATGGGCGAATCTGATCAGGAACCTATTTTTCCGGTTCACGGACCAGTGGAGATTTTGGAAGGGGAGGGTGCATTGTGAGAGCGGGAGGGGGCTGTTAATGTGGACTCGACTTGACACTATCTATTTGTCAGCATGGGGCTACCATTGTGCCAAAGGGAAGTGGAAAAAAGAGGGTTGATTCGGCTAAAGCATGAATCAGGAGGGCTTCAGTCCCTCAACCCTCAAGCTACCACCCCTCCGCAACAAAAACACCCACTTGAGGTCTTTTAAAATGATGGTTAACCCGTTTATATATCTTGAACACTTTGAGCAATCGTGTCTCTCATAGCAAGCCGTATTAATGCTTAATCGGTCGTCCTTCTCAAAATTGTTTCAAGATAATCTCCTTAACTCTACTGCCCAAGAAAATGACAATGTCTGGATTCCTTTTTGACCTCGTGAATATAAGTGTAATAAAAGGACAGTTAGATGCAAATAATTCCAAAATATCAAAGATATATATGTCGTGTTTTATACATAGACACACGACAGAAAACATTACGCTCATGATTAACGCAGGTTACCAGCCAAAATATCTTGTGGTTTAAGTACACTGTAAATGGTACTCTGCACTTAACTCGATATTTTTTCAAAGCCATAATTTTCCTTAGTTTAGATTTGGCATCGAGTCACCACTGTTAGCTGGCATATAATGGACTTATTACGTTAGCATAAAATAACAAGAAGAAAGTGAGGCACAATTATTATAGTCCACACTTCACCGCCGTTCTGTGTTTTACCAGTCGTGAATGATGTTTCTTTTGTTGTAGAATTCAATTAACAGTCATGTTTTTGGAGCGCATGATTTTAAGTTGTTTGTTTTTCCCCCCGTTATTTTGAAAGTAAACGGAAGTGTTCCGTACGTGAACCATTGATAAGGAAGTACAATGAACGAGTGATATTTCTTCATCCAGATTTCTTCATTATGATTTCTTCGTTTGGATCAAAAGGAAACTGGCCAAAAAACCAATAATAATACAATTGCCATGCTTATATCCTGTCTGGCAAACAATATTGAAATTTACTTCCTTTTCCTCGTTTATGCATTGAATTACATACACACTTTTGCATTTAGAAAATATATATTCCATATAAACTTGAAATCGGGATCTGAACAGTTACAAAAGGGAACATGACAACATGGAGGGGAGCATGGACGTCCGTCTCCGAATCGCTTGGCAATTGTTGCTATTTCTTGGACAATGCAAAGGTAGGTTTTGAATTGTTTGCATTTTTTTAGTTCCTAAATGAATAAGGGATAAAGAGTTGAATCACCGCGTGGAATTGAAGGAAGATAGTCTTGTTGCAAGACGTTCTTAGCGCGACTTCACGACAGACGGAACGGTACAGCCCTTGAGTACCGCGCAACATTAACAGCACACATGTCGTATACTGTCGAGATATGGGGCGCAGTGGTCTAGCCGGGGGGGGGGGGGCTAGGGCGGCACCCAGTTCCCTTCAAGGTGCCCCCCCCCCCCAAAAAAAATCTTAAATTTGCCGCTTGCCAATGAAGTGATTTTTTAAAGTGTCTTTGTTGAGTATTGTTGCAAGCGAACAACAAACTTGAGGTTTGTTCGGTTTAAAATAAATCAAAGTCTTAGTGTTATGTCTCCACCCGGGAAAAAGGAATGGCTGCGATGTCTTAAAACACAAGAGAAAAACACAAATTAAAACAATAACCATTCAGTAGATATAAAACTGAAACCAAATGTTAATATCTTGGAACCAAACAGTCCAGGCCCTAGAGTTTCATCCTGACATGAAATATTTCTGGACACAGAACATTTATATTGACATTAGCATGTTAAAGCCATATAGATTTCATAGGGAGTTCATATCCCCAAAGTGGACATAATTGGTAACTAAAGGTTAAAATTGATGGTAATTTTAATGAACGAACGAACGAACGAACGAACGAAAGTTACAATCACTCTGTTTTCTTTATACTTCTCTTCCCGTTTCTCACTGCAGGTTTTTCAGCCATTCATGATTTCACCTGTATCACCAAGCCCCGTATTGATATCGGCAGTGAAGAAACCTACATCGCCGCCTTTCTACATGGCGGTAACGCTACGCTGTCCTTCGCTCGAACAACCTACACGTACACAAGCGTCGATAACGACCCGTTAGGGCTACCTTCAGACTACCGTTTGAAACCACGCCCGTCATCAGAGGGAGATGAGATCTTTAAACTTCGATTACCAGCGGCTGGAGGGATGACTAGGATTGGAGCCTTTGCCTGTAATGCCAGGATGACGGATAGAAATGACAGCATTGGTACGATCATCATGAGCAGAACCGGTAAGTTTAACGGCACTATAGATTTTAGATGTCCTTCCAAACTGAAACTGAATGGATTGGACTGGTATGGTACATAACGCAAGACATGTACAAAACATTTTAAGTTTCATACCCCGTCCTCTTCAAAACATTTGGGTTTTTTCCCTAACGAATTCTTAATCTGTATGTTTTGTTTTAGCAAAAGAAACGCCCACTTTTCCTCCAGATTTTGGACGTCCGCAACCATCTCTGGAAACGACTTTCAATTTGAGCACAAATAAACCGGCTCTGCAAGGGCGAATTATTGTCTTGCAGGCAATGATTCGAATTTTGTGACGAAATAATTCAATAACTAAACCTTAATGGATTTGTTTTCGTTCGATGTCTTACTCATAAGTGAATAACTTTTATTTTGCTATACGAAAATAGCAATTTCGAGTTTGAAAGCCGAAAGTAGCACTGAGAATCTATCTTTAAAGGACACGTTCGTCACCGTTTTCAGGAAGAGACACACATGTGGATTTTGAAGAAAAAACGTAGAGAAGTTCCCTTTTATTTTAAAATTGCAAAGATTACCACTTTGCAACACCTTTATGCTGTAAGATAAAAATCACATGATTCTTTGAAAGGGAAAGTTTTATGTAAACCCGGTATTACCAGAATCAACACAATATTTAATTAGCTAAAACTAATTAGTAAAGATGTGGGTTCCTTCGTGAACACGAAAATCAACGTTTCCTTCATTTAGGACCTTTCTGTTTAACGTGTTTTTTTTCCATAGGGAAGGAGCATGCAACTGATAATGTAATAAAGATGTGTGGCTCTCCGTGAAAACTAATATCTCACTTGACCTACTTTTATGTTTTTCCGTCCAATACTTGTTGTACACGTTTCAAGGGGCACCAATATTGTTCATGTCTCTTCGGGAAAACGCAAAATACAATAATTGAGATGCCTGTCCCTTGCATCATTAAGGCAATAGGCCTCTGTTCTAATGACGTCACACTTTGTTTACATATCTGCACTTTCCTATATAGAGCCAGTGGGGGCCCACGGTCCACTGAGCGCCAAAGGAAAACACACACGGAAACAAAGTGTGACGTCATTAGTACAGAGGCTCATTAAGAATTTAATGATGCTTTGCTTTCAGAAGCATGTGAAAAAATGACCATTTTCTTTGTGAAAACGGTGACGGTTTATTTTTTATTTGTTGACCAGAGCCCGCCTGATTTATTACTGTGTATTACAGCTGACTTCCTGCCTACCCGAGTGAGTCAGACGGTAAACCGGGGAGATGTAGTCAATCTGACCGTCATTTCAATAAACCAATCTCGCACAAGTACCAGATGGAGAAAAGACGGCGGTGGTGTCATCACAGACCTACAAGACGATCTGTACTCTGATTTTGTCAATGCCAGAGTCTCAGACATTGGGATCTATGAGGTCCACTTAGCCGGGGAACGTAGCCACGGAAACCAGGCACTTATGCAGTTGATTGTCAGAGGTATAGGCCTTTAAAACTGTTTAACATTGATTTCAAAGATGATTTCCCCGTTCTATTTTTTTTTGGGTTTTACCCTCGATTTTTTTCAACTGATATTTGCTTCACAGCTTGCCCAAACAATAAATGGAATGCGCCCTCGTGCGACAGGCATTGCCCAGTCTGTTTCAATGGTGGTATGTGTGACGACCGGAGTGGAGACTGCATTTGCCCGCCTGGCTTCAGCGGCGAATTCTGCAAAAGACGTGAGATTTAACAAACCCCCTCCCCCCTCGAATTCCCCCTCCCCCGATTTTTTCCCCTCAAAATCTCCTCCCGGGACGTAATGAAAAGAAGTTTGCACATTAAAATAGAGAAAAGTTGAATTCATCAACCATACTGTTTTGTGATAATGTCAAACAAATTTAAATCATCATCGGACCCCAAAGTTGTAGGCATCATTATTTTGAACACAAAAATATTTATGTTGAACCTCTCACGAACGTTAACTAACAAAGAAAGCCTTGTCTTTCGTTCCTAGCGATAGGCCCCAATCGTTTTGGCCAATCGGGAAGTTTTCGCTGCGACTTACGTGAGTTAGGAGGCCGTCCTACGTGTGCTGGGATGCTGTTCTGTTTACCAAATCCTTATGGCTGTTCGTGTGCTGCAGGGTACCAAGGAATCGACTGCAATGAAAGTAAGTAAAAGAAAATTAAAAATGTAGTTTAATTTTACTTTTATTAACCCTTATAGTATAATTGTTATTTGGTCTCATAAAAATTTCTTCTTTTTGTGGTAGCTTATTCGACGTTTTTGTCCGCAGACACGACCAATGGGCGTGTCACATCCCTCTCATTCCCTCCCCTCTTGCGACGCCCCTCAGTGTCAATCACGTGGGCTGATTTTTCAAATATTTGCATTTTGCTTTAACTTGTTACCGGTCCAAAGATTCATGTCTTGTGTTGTAGCATGTGCGGATGGTTTCTACGGAGCAGACTGTGCACAGACATGTCACTGCATGGACGGGGTCGCGTGTGACGGAACTACGGGCGAGTGTCGCGGGGACTGCGCGCCAGGATTCATCGGCATCAACTGCCAAGGTAATACCATTTTGTCGTCTTTGTTTTTCACCTAAACGCCTCAAACTGTTCGCAAAATGAAAGCTTTTGATGTACCGACAATTTATCTCCCCTTTTCAGTACTATTTAAAATAATTTGGTTGTTGGAAAGTTCGAAAAATACCTCAAAATTCGCCTTTGTTGTTTCTCACCACGAAAAATTGGGAGAGGGTTGATCCAGCAGCCCCCCCCGGTCAAAAAGTGGGAAGGAATTATACCCCATTCCCCAGGATTTACGCCCTGCCAGGGGTCTGGCCAAAACTCCATGTGATGTACATTGCTTGTGACTGGTATTTAGCTGTTGTTTACTTAACATAACAATCGCATGGAGTTTTTGCCGGTAACCTGATTTTATTAAGCAAGACGTTTTTGTGCTTAAGCAAATTTTGTGCTTAAGCAGCTCTATGAAATTGGCCCCTGGCGTGTACCATTGCACACTGAAATGGTCAAGACTATTGCATACGGGCGAGTGTTTCAGAGACTGCGCGGGGATCGTCAACTGCCGTTTTATTCGCCTTTGTTTTGTGCCGGTTTTTTCTACGATGTTATCACAAATAACTCCACCCCCCCCTTTTCGATTGCAGAAAAATGCTTTCCATTTAATGGAACTATGGCATCGTGTGATACAACCTGCAGAGAATTCCTAGGTAAGCGTGTACGTTGTTATTGATGACCAGAACCATACTCGGTGCATGGTCTGGCTTCTAGACTGGTTTACTTCCTGACTTGTTCCTTTTAAGTTGACTGAAATCCTTCTGCTTCTTGTGAATTTCGTCTGCAACCTTCCACATCGGAAACAGATTGTTCAATCAAAAGAACTGTTTAGTCATCGTAATTCCGACCCGAGTGCGATGCAAATTTGACGTCACGGAGCATTCGATTTACGTAACTCGCCGCAGTTGAAATGTGTTCAACTTTTGCGAATGGACCGATCCAGTAAGCCCTCCCACTGCGCACGTGGGCAAATTAACACATGCTCTTTTCCAATGCCACATTGCATTTTCCTGCTGCGCGCATCATACGCGCGTGCACAAATCACGGCTGTGATTAGTCAGAACACCATGGGTCGGTGCTTACTGGATAGGTCCATTGGCAGCGCGAAAACCTGCCTTGACGTCACGAATTCGCTTTTGCGCCGAGTACGAACCGGCCTTCGCACAACAGATTGCCTCATCTGTCGGTTCTTTTGAAAAATGAAACGAATAGGAATTTTACTTGGCCGTTTATAAGGTTTAGTCATCGGACCATTCAATTATACACAAATTTTTACATATAATTCGAAAGGTATACCTTTTTTTTTACTTGTATAATTTGTTTGATTTGGTCAGGCTGGGGGGGGGGGGGTGTTTTTTATCTGCTCTGTCCAGGGGTGTCGATTTGTGGTTCAGACTTTTTAATTACCTGTACTATAGTGTTATGTCATCAATTTTTGAGATTTAAAATTACATTTTAAAATTTAATATACATTTCTTTTATTCATATAAATTGTTTGATTGTAAAGCGCCTTGGAGGATTTTTCAATGGATTCGGCGCTATAGAAATTTTAATTATTATTTTATTATAATTAATTATAATGCGCTGAAAATGTGGTGCAATAAGTAGAACGTTCCGTTCATTCTACCAACGTATCCTTGCTCTTAAACTCATATAAAACTGCACCTTAATATAGGTTGTTTTATTCCTCCCATTCCAGACCCTGCTACGAAGTCCCTCGCGCCACAGAACGTTGCATCCTTCTCGTCATTCTTAAATGAAATGACCAAAACGTTCACTTGGCAGCCAGTGAATTGTCCGAACGGCATCACGATTGTGAATTACTTATATAAATTTGGGGTTTTAGAGAGTGACCAGGAACCAGAAGCAGTACGAACTGAAGGCACCTCTGTATCTGTACATCCGTCGTTATGCGGTACACAGTATAGATTTGAGGTAGCTGCTGAAACTACCAAAGGAATCGGACCATTCAGCTTTGAACAGATTTTTCAAACTTATTTGAAAGGTAAACAATTTTGCAGTCCCTGTTTCACTGCTCCCCTGAAATCATATTCCAAGCCCAAAATGGGAAATAACCTCATATCTTGGTTACGAGTGGATCGACACCATTCTAGATTCGGCAGTGGCAAACCAAACCAAACCTTTAACCAGATTACTGTTTTGCAATAAAGAAATACCGGAGTTAACTTACAATTTTAAAATTAAATCATGAATACATCATTGTTAAAGTCCCAGATGCCGTTGACGGGTTGACCGTTCAGGGCACCAGTTACAATAGCCTGAGTCTGTCATGGGACGCACCAGGAACCAGTCAAGAGTTCCCTTGTCCTGCATCCGACTACTTGGTGACCTTTGACCTCATAAACCTGGAGCAGTGTCTGGAGGTTCATCAATATAATAATGGAATTTGTACATGAACCATGGCGCTTCGTCACCACTCGCGACAGCTCCACCGCCTTCTATAGCTGGAGACCAATCTGACCTCATAACACACATGTGTATCAGGACAGGCAACGGCTTCATGCTTCTGACATCTTAAATTTTGGCCATTATGCTTCTTGGATAGGCCATCTCCGCTGCAGTTTGATTGGCCTAGCTACTTTTGCACACATACTGATGCGTCGCGTTTAACGCAGCACCATCATGTACACGCGTAGATATTTAAAGTAGGCTTAGCCCTACGTCATAGATCGACCTGACAATCGACGCGCTGGCCGGTATCAGACTTTAAATGGCTGCCCCCAATAATTCGCCATTTCGAGTCTGAATTAGGAAAGGCGCCCCACTATATGATTAAACGAAAACAAATAAACACGTGCAGCGATACAATTTTTCTTCTTCCTCTGGTCTATGAAAGTGAGACGTCATCTTGCAGTGTTACATAATGCTTTTTTCCACACAGTGCCAGCTGCTGTATCGGACATATCCATACTCGCCATTTCACGTGAACGAAACGAATTCGACGTTCGTTGGACTTCCCCCGATGGAGCCTGCCCTGCGACATCTTACAGTGTAACATATGAGCTCATCACGATGGACCAATGCACCAAGCAGAATCCACCAATCGTAACAGATGTAGGAAAGGTCGACACTACTCACGCTACTCTCCACCTACCTGCGTATTACTCAGAGTACAGAGTGAACGTCTCGTCAATCAATGAAGCTGGACATGGTGAAACAAAATTCGTAGAATTGTTCACCAGCGAAAACAGTAAGTGTTTGGTAACATTGATCTTGATCTGATTTATTATGTTATACAACTACTACCAGTCTGGTAGATGTTACCATTGCGGCTTCAACAAATTGGACAGATTTGGTTTAGTTACAGGTTGACTTTGAATTCAGGAGTGATGTGGCCCAAAAGTGTTTGTTTTTACCTGTGCATATTTAAGATAGCGGTTGCCTTTGGTTAATTTGGTCGATTTCAACCGGCGTGATGCAACCGCGTTTTGCCTGAAATTCACGGTAAATTTCAGGCAAAACGCGGTTGCGTCACGCCGGATGAAATCGACCTGGTTCCCAGTGAACCTCAACACCTAGACCAGGCAACCTGTCCTACTTTGTAAGTGTTTTTTTTTAAACAGATCGAAGCTTTTTTATTTACCCAACTTCATAACATCTTTATTTACTTACTTACTTTCTGTAGGTGACTATAATGTGATTTGAACTTGAATTAAAGTAATATTACAATATCTGCATGTGATTTTAGGTGTTTATAGTCTATTTCGAGTGATCTGGGGAATTTTGCAGATTTTTGATAAATCTGACAGAATTTTGAAGTGCATTTAGCAGAACTTTGCCATGACCTTACGGTCACCCTGTTATTGAGCTTATGTTGAACTTTGTTTTTGACAGCACCAATTGCAGCACCGGTTACCCGAAGTACAGCAACCTATGACAGCATCACGTTCTCCTGGGATCCTATCCCTTGCGGCAGTAGACGTGGCAATATCACTCACTACGCGTACGCATTCAGAGGGCCAAGACCACAAGAAGAGGACAGAACTATCGACAAGAGAAATATCTCAGAGCTTTCTGTTACCTTACATGATTTATCACCGTGTACCACGTACTCAATCAGAGTTCGAGCATATACTCGCATTGGAGCAGGTCCATGGACAAACTGGACACACCAAGACACAATCTTGAAGGGTAAAACATAACTCCCCCCCCCCTTCCTTTAATTCTGGTCATACTTGACCTGAAAGTTTTCCTGGTGTAAATGACCCAGACAATGACCAGAGAATTGTCATTTGACAAAATGTGTATCAGGTCAAATAAGGCCTGAATTTCAGTTAAAAAAAAAAGTTATCTTGATGCAAAATATCATATTTTAATATCTCCTCAAGACGACATCCAATCCCTCACCCTGGAACCTTCAAGAAATGGCATCCGGGTCACCTGGACAAGTACCAGGGACGAGGGCAACCTTTGCCCTGCGTCCTCGTACCGGGTTAGTTACCAACTTCTCAACTTGGAGCAGTGCCAGCCACAGACCGACTCGGCCCCGATACACGCAGCAGTTGTAAACAGCAGTGGTATCGAGCTAACTTCGATGCATGCTTACTCTACGTACAGCGTGCGCGTGGAACCAGGGCATCACCCTGGAGAAGATTTTTCAGAAAGAAAGACGGTGACGACTGATGAGGGAGGTAAGCTAATCATACGAGCATCTTCCAGTTACGAAAAAATGTGATGACCATCGATCCATTGAACCATAACAAAGCATAGGGGGCCTATGTACATGTAATACGTCTTTGCTATTCCGCATGTAGTGTCATAGCTCCATAGTCATTACATGGCACGTACGGAAAGTTAATTCGTATTTACAGAACACGATGTTGTGTAAAACTGATATAGCGCAGCATGATTTCCATTAGACGGTGAAATCATTTTTTTTGCCGCCGTGGATGGTATCCCGAAGAACACCGTTATTTCTTAGCACTCATGCGGAAAGGACCCATGCTGATTTCATTGGGCCTCATGCACACGGGACGAAAGCATTTTTTTTTTGAAATTCATTTTGTAGCCCAAACAAAAAGACTACTTAGGGCCTTGACATAGAATATTACCTGTGATGACTTTCGGGACTTTTTCCGAAGACAAATTGAACGAATCTTGAAGAATATGAGAGAAAATGACAAAATGTTTGGGACTACTGAATATTTTCAATGGGCAGATTTCGCTTTTAGCCTCACGACCCATTTATGCGCATGCGTGCATGAATTTGAATTTATTAGGAAACTGGTCTGTATCAAATCTGAACACGATCAACAAGCACGAACATTGTTTTGTGTCATGGTTTATCACAGTCCCATTGGCTGCTCCTGAAGTTGACAGCGTTTCTTCGTCCAATCAAATCACTCGAGTGTCTTGGCATCCGATTCCCTGCGGCAAAAGAGACGGTGACATCACAGGCTACACGTACGAGCTGCGTGACGCATCTGGGTCCATGATACAAACAGCCGACACCACGGCAGAGTCTGTTGAAGTCGATGGTCTGTCACAGGGGGCGTCCTACTCCTTCAGGCTGTGGGCGTCTACGCGGGTAGGACCTGGTCCCTGGATAGAATTCAGCATGGTGATAATAAAAGGTAGGATATCACTAAAGCGCATATGAAAATACAATGCATCAACACTGAAGAAGACGACAAAATATATTGTGGAGTCACGTTAATAATTTGGCTCCGAAATCAGCCCCATTGGTAATGTTACACTTCATACTGTTATACCCTTACACAGTTAGTCAGTTGAGGTTTTGCAGATATTTATTTGTAAGTATCTAAACTTGTTCACACCAAAGAATCTATTTTTTTCGTTCTATCTTTATCTTCTTAGTCGATTCGGGAAGCAGCGTCGCCAATACGGTTTTCAGTGGTGGTGTAGGAATTGCCATTGGCATCATACTTGCCACTGCTGTTGCCTTGCTGATGGCTTTTGCCAGACACTATCGGTGAGAACTTTGGCATTAATTTTAACCTGATAAACTTTCACGAAGGTAAGATATGGCCATTAATGTCATAGTAGGCTGGATGCAGTGAAAAGTATTAAAGTAACTATATCCTAGTCAGGATAATCGACTTGACGTTTATGGTAATTTTCTACAGTCATATAGTGACTATATTTCCAGAACAACTGACCAGTTAAGTCTCAAGAAAAAAACCAAGTATAGGCAATAGTTTGATCAGTTCTTTTAACAATGCTCAAGAATGTGTTGTCATTATATTATTTTTCTTTTCAAACTGCAGAAAACGCTCTCAGAGGGCTAAGAGGTCAGCAAGTAGGCCAATGCCTGAGTCACGTGCACATGATGATGCCGACGCCATATACTTTGACATAAACGACGATAGTAAGGGAATTTTACTGTGATTATAACAGATAGTTTGAGAGCTGTATCAATCCGTTATAAGACTGTGATTAAACCTCTGAAATGATCCTATATGTGTTTTGTTAACAGTCGAATTGAAGAAGATATCAGCAACACCAAGCCGTGAATCAGCTACTGGGGCATCCACTGTGCCGTCTGGGAAATCAACAACACGTGCGTTGGCACCTCGAGCATCCACCAAACGTTCAACTGCGACGGCAACCAAAAAGCCTCAGATGGCGGCCGGTCAGAGTGGAGCGCGCCACTACGAAAACACGGTCATTCCGTAGCTCCACACAGTTGGGACTAAATAAATTTTAGACAACAAAGAAACGTTTATGTTTGTATATAATTCTGCTGGGGAAATACTACTTATACCATTATGGAAGCAAGCACTAAATTAAAATGGTCCGAGACCATACTGTAACATTATTATAGACTATTACTCTTGTGGACGGCTGAGGGCGCTGTTTAGCCCTACCAATCCGTAAAAAGATAGCACGTGTGAGCATGGGCGTCATAGAATATTTTTGTTGCTTTATATTATAACTAGTGGCGTGGAAATACGTTGATCCTGAAGACAAATTTAGTGAGGTCCGTGGATAAACTTGGAATAAATGTTTCTATATATATAAAAAGACGCTGCTAGAATGAAAAGGGCTATTATTTTGCTGCAATTGGTTGGAATGTTTGATTTAATGAATGTGGTATGGTTCCCAGCTATCTGAATATTGTTCTGCTAAAATAATGTTCTTAAATTAACGTCAATATATACAGAAGGTATTTACGTCTTAAAGTTATATTAATGAATAACGTCAACTACTCTGCACATTTGCATATAGGCCACTACCACTACCGTTTTATTTATTTAGAAAATGAAACGAATGGTATAGAAAAGCTATGTAAACGGCTCGGCCCACTTGGGCAAAATGGATCACAATCACCTCAATTTGGCGTTGCCAAATCACGCTATCGCGATTCGTGTTTTCGTGATTCGTGTTTTTTTTTTAATTGAAGATACTTCTGGTCATAAAGATGATTTTTCCTGTCGAGGGTGCGTGGCAGTGTCCCCTTTAGAACATTTAATATTATGTGTAAACAGTATGTATACAGTTTAGCCTCATCTGAGGTGATCGCACTTTTAGAATTATTAATCAAGAGTTGACATTTAGCACACTCCGTTTTATAATGTAAAATTTTAGGAATTTATACAGCAGCGAACTTCCTTTTATATAAAATAATGCAAGTTATCTTGAAATACCTTTGTTATAATCATGCTACAATGTTAAAACGTATAAACTAAGCAAATAAAATATATGCATCAAATTGGTAAGTCATTTTATTCCATTTTATTTTAATAAGATTTGGCGCATTAATGTAGCCACCAGATGCCACTGCGCCTTCACAATTCAACGTAAACAAGAAAATGTATCAATTTATTTTTACGCGTAAAATAATGTATTTTTTTCGCCAATGCTTATCCTTGAACAAACTGAATCTGGCTAAAAATAGTCATTCTTACTGTAGCGGTACGCCAATAAGGAGGTTCGCTCAATTGATTAGATTTAAGGACGCCAAGAACAACCCAAGACAAACAGACAAAATCAAAACACAAGGAGGAGTCAAATTATGTTTGGTCTCATGAACTTGTTACAGATTACTCGTTTACAAAATCAAAAATAGTTCTGGATTTGAATCTCAATGTAACTCACAAAACAAGTGTTAAAAAAATCATAGAACTTAGATTCAACTTCCAGCTCTATAAATTGTAATAACATTGCCAATGATAAATTATAATCACAAAGTTTGTATTTCTAAAGTTGCCCCGGTTCCTAAGATTTCCAGGTTTCTAATATTCTTGGTTCTAACATTTTAATCAGGTTCCCCGAACGCCTGGCCAGTGTACGGCTGTGTAGTAAACTAGGCCTCCAAATTGCACCTGACATGAAACAGTCGTATTGCAATAAATCAACATGTGACACACGGTGATTAAAACTTTGAGATTGCAAAGACTAATTCACCCCAAAATCACTCCTTTTGTCCACATGAAATAAACTAACACCTAGCCCAGCGGTAGCAGAGAACTTGCATTGTGACATTGAAATGTAAAGAAAATACATATTTCGCTCATTTGAAACTAAAATGTTGGTTTTCAAGCACAAATCTAAGCACACAATACTCACACTTTGGTGTGCAGGCAGAAAAGGGCTGATATTCGCGCGTTCACGGCACTGAGTGCGCGTTTGTATACATTTTTCGGGGCTGTGTGCCAATTGTACGGTGCCTCGTAAAAGACGTCTCACTACATTACTTCCTGCTATATGTATTGACTTCCTTTATAATATTCAACCGCTTCTCAAAAGTGGGGGCATACCTTCGGACGAGCTAAGTATGCGAGCGCGAAGCTCCGACCACCAAAACCAATTTTTTTTTAGCAAAAGATCATCTTTTAAACATCATTTTCGAGTTTAGAGTCATGAATCAGTTATTCTGAGATTCATTGTAGAACAGCCTGCTGGACGACTGAACATGAAATCAGGCTGCCAATCACAGACGAGGTCAACTGGAGAGAGTACGAGAAGAATATCACCGAGTGGACGTGGAGACCAAGTCTCACAAACATCACTAGATTCAGGTTGGTTTAAGGTTCATTACAAATGTTGGTTCTTTAAGTGAAATTGCACTCGTAAAGTTCCTAGCAGCCGATTTTTCACTGAGCTGCAGAAAGTTTCCTAAGCAACTGAAATTTGCTTAGCACGAATAATATTTTAATCAAAATAACAGGTTTCTGCCGCAACGTCATGCGATGTGCTGATAGACTGGTTGTTTACAGTTGATTTTTCTGGCTTGTGCTTGAATTCCCAAACAATATTTTTCTGCTTAGAAACTTAACGAATATTTGGCCCGTCCTTAGGCAGATGATCATTAGAAAAAAAGACGGCGCAATAAAAAAATCAGTGGCGATGTGACTGCGAACATGGGTTGCATACTGAGTTGAATGATTATGGGATAACGTAGCTTAAAGTTCCTATATACAGATTCAACCTGCAGTGTTTGCACGGCGCTAGATTCCCTAAAAGCCGCTTAAAGCGGCCACAACAAACCGCCCAAATTTTAATTTAGTCAGTTGAGTGCTGCTGGCGGAGTTCCTCCTGCAATATATTCTCATGTGATCCTTTGGTCCCAGCAGATTTCTCTTAAGAGTCGCATTCTGGATAAGTTAATATTATTCCTCGTCAAACGATTATTATTTCCCACCGTCAGGAAGGAACTGAGAGCGGCCAACATTGACGTCCAAGGGCGCTTCGTGACGTCCAACGCGACGCGCAAAGCCGGCAGCAAGATAACCACTTACCTGACCCGAAACAATGTCACGCTCACCAGTACGTTCACCAGGTATCAACCCAAGGTAAAAAAAAACTGGTCGAAATATCACATAAGTCTGTGATATTACATGTACAATGTACACGTATTGCTATTATTGGCCCAAGCCGAAAATAAACAAGCAACATAAAGATATTGCTTTCATGCAAATGCAAATTTCAATATTCATGACGTCATCTTATTAAGAGCTTTAAGCGTTATTTTGTGGTACAAAAATATACCCGATAATTTCCAGACGACATACCCGATAATTACGGCTGAGGTTAACCATCATTTTCCATCATTGTATTGCGATTTCAATCGTGTGTGATTACCTTTTCAGCAACATTCATGGTTATCTCAATATATTCATAAGTGCAGCAGCCACGTCGTCTGAACTGTTTGCTCTTCATTTTACATTGTCTATAGGTGTCGCCCTTCGATGGCAAAGCCTTCAAGAAATGCAGCGTGGTTGGCAACAGTGGCCTGCTGATTAACAGTGCGTGCGGCCACGAAATCGATGTTGCCGACTACGTCTTCAGGTAAAACATGGTTTGCACGATAGTTGGGCTCCTCCTCAAATTTGTGGACCAAAAAAAAAATGCAGGCTGGAATTTATTTCGACAACAGCTTCTTTTTTTAGCTGCACATGCACGAACTTTTTCTTTCAATTTGGGGCGCAAATTATACAGGGTGAGAAAAAAAGAAAAAAACCCCAAATGTAGGGACTTTTGTTTTAGTAAAGCTCTGCATGTACCACTTTCAAAGTTTTGGATATGAAAGCCCAATTCATATGCTTTATTTTAGTACAAGAATCATTCAAATCACTCGTGTATTTTTCAAGTTAAGGAGTTTTAACTGAACGAACACTGAACTTTTTTTGTGATCCGTGGACAGAACCTTACAACGGTGGTTGTGTTTAAAAGTCCGTAACTTAAAAAGTACTCAAGTGATTTGAATGATTCTTGTACTAAAAAAAAGCTTATGAACTGGGCTTTTATACCCTAGAATTTGAAAGTGCTACATGCAGCACATCACTCTAACAATGGTCTTGAAATTTGGGTTTCGTTTTTTTTTACTCGCCCTGTAGTTGCCCAGTTTCTGACATCCCGTTTCATTTAATACGCTATACTGTTTCCCTTCAACCCAGTCTGGATCCTTTCCATCGTTTCTTTTTTTCAGGATAAATGTACCTGAGATGGACCCATACATTCAGGACGTTGGGTACAAGACCAATTTCACCACTCTGAATCCAAGCATTTTCAAGCGAAAGTGAGTGACTCTGATTTGTAATGCAAACTTTAAGGGCAGAAAGATTCAAGAATTGGGAATTTTAACTGTATCTACTTTGCCCTCTCCACATATTGCCATACACTAAAAATATAATTCCACCCGAAAATTGAATGAAATCACCTTAGTTGTTGGGTACTTCGTAAAAAGATTTGCCATAGCAACGTTTTGGAAGAATTGGCAAACGTGTATATATGCAAACTGATCTTTTTAAACAAAAGTTGGGCAAAAAGTTCAGCAAATAGTAGCTGTAGATGGATTGAGAAAACACGTAGAATTCAATTTAAGATACACTCTCGTATCTGCCAATGTGTGATGAAAGAGTCTGCGCAGACCTACGAACTACATCATCAGAGCGGTCCAATCACCGTGAACATATCACCATAGTTACTAGAGGATAATCGTGTTTTGGCATCTTCCAATACCGGTGAAATAAACAGAAAGTACTCCACGCTTGTATTTGACAATTGATTTTGGTATTGGTATAAAACAAACATCGGGATCAGCAAAAGCTCTGTAAAGTGAGACTGGAATTATGAATTTTCACCTTGGTTTTAAAAATCTGGGCTTCACTCTTTTTGCCTTTGCATCCAGGAATAATTATTTCGCCAGCACACGTCTGACCGACAAATTCAACCAAGACATATCACAGTACCAGGGCTTGCTGATGTTTCCATGTTTCAGCGACGCAGCCTGGGTGCCCATATGCACCCGGGCCCTGCAGCGATTGACGCCGAAGAAGTCCCTCAGCATCGCCTTCGGAGATCCGGACCAGTTTTCCCTGATCCGGAATTATTGGGTGACAAAGGGACTACAGAAGTATCCTTCCACCGGTAAGTCGAACTCAAATTATCAAACCCTTTTTTTTTTCTTGGTCAAGGTTTGTAGATAGCCACAGCCGCTATTGCTCTGTGTGAGGAGGTGCATCTGTACGGCTTCTGGCCCTTCGTGGATTCCTCCATGCCCCACGTCACCACGCACCCGGTCAAGTACCACTACTTCGACAACACGCACATGGTGCGGACCCACGACATGCAGGCCGAGTTCGAGCTGCTGACCCGCCTGCACCAAGTCGGCGTGCTGCGGCTGCACATTCGGGCCTGCTCACCGGAACGGGCTGGGTTGGGAACAGGTGACGGGGACACCGTGAAGGGAATGAATCGTGAGCCCGTCGACAAGCAGCAGAAGAGGATCGTCATTGAGAAACTCTGGGACAATGTTTGAGCCCCAAAAGAGAGGAAAAGCAATCCTCTCTGCCCAAAAGTGCCTTTTTAAAGTGCATTATGCCCTCATGCCTGTTAACTTCCAAGGCGACCAATTTAACAAGCTTCGAGGATAGACACTAACATCTATCTTCGTTTTAAATACAAACTTGTGCAAAATGTGATTTGCAGTCTTGTTTGTATAAATGCTTTGAATCGTCGTCTTAAAAAACCGACCTATTTTGTAGATGCTTGTATGTGGTATCATACCTTTTACTGCTTATGGTCCACAGTTCTGGTGCCATAGAATATTAAGGACTGACTCGTCAAACTTTTAGAGTAATACTGCGGACATATTCTATTAGTGGTAAGACCTACGTATAACTACATTCAACTTAGCTTTACTACTCAATATCAAACGGATACCGTCACTTTGTAAAAACGGAGATCCGGAGTTAAGCCGATTCGCCGCAGTAAAAACGTAGCAAACGGCATTGCAGAACTTTTCAAGAATATAGGACTTTACTTCAAATCTCCAATCCATGTTTGTTCTTGAATAATTCTTTTGAGGAATTTACTAATAACATGTAAATACAGATCGTAATTTATGAAATCTTCTCAATTTAAAAAAAAAACCCAGGGCAGTATACCCTATTATGTATGCGATAATACTTGAGTTTGCAGGCTGTGGTTGATTTGAAATTAGTATAATTAGATTTGAAATTAGATTTGAAATTAGATTTGAAAATGCGTATAGGGCTCTCTCATTGACCCACGTGACCCGGTCTACATCCGGGCACGGAAAGTCAGCATCGCCATTGTAGTAGGCAAATATCATATAGTGCCGTGCAGAGTTGGTAAAGTAGGCAAGCCTTTAACGCTGTGATAAATGGCAAAAACTGTGACGAAAAACGCAGAGCCGACACCCTGGACTTGGTCGGCACGATTTATGACAATTGCACACGGCACAATTGCCATTTGGCAAAGAATTTTACGATGCACGGCATGGTTGCTAACCGAATGCGTGCCTACCGCAATGGCGGCCGATCACGGGCAAAAGTCATGGTCATACGACCGGACCCTATTGTAGATACTAGGCGGATGATACTCCGCTTAGTTGTGGGCAAGTTGCAGGGTTTTTTTTATACATGGGAGGTTGGTTGTTAATACTGCCATTGCTTCGAAAGCATCGCTCCATGGAGTACATACATGTCACGAACATCTTCGGTTAGAGCCTGCTCGATCGAAACATTTTCAAGGATATAATGATGACTGATGGACACACAATAGGCAATCAATATGGGTAAGGTTGGTATGGAAACTGAACAGAGTGTTAACGCAACCAGCCCCCCCCCCCCAATGAATACACGGCATTCAAATTTCTTAGGAGCTATTGTCTCTCGTCTACTACGTGCGAACACACTGATGATGGACGCAGCCATAATACCGATGGGTGCCATGTTTTCAAACCTACGGCCTTCATCAGAGCGTAATGAAAATCACGCAGCCATTGGCAGTTAAGTAACTCCTGTTATTGCTCATCGAATGCTGTGTGTGGTCTGCGTATAGATTCGTGCCATTTGAAAAGTCACAGGCGTTGTCGACGAGGCTTTTATTTCAAAAGCTGCATTGACGATCGGCTGTTTCATTTCTCTTCGCAAAACTTGAAACTTTATTACAAGATCGTTCAACGTTAACACGTGCGGATTCAGGTTGCACGATGAAGCTGATTCGATGGAGTGGTTTTATTATTTGCGCGTGTTTTTACGCCGAGGCCTGCCAACCCGGCCAGGAGAGATTTGGGGGATCTTGCTATCAACTCCTGACCGAGAAAATGATGTGGGACCAGGGTGATGCTGCCTGCTCGGAGATGGGCGCTGCTTTGGCCGTTCCTGACTCCTTGGAGGAACATCAGTTCATCTGGGAGATGTTCACCGGGAACGTTAGTGCGGGGAGTGTATGGGTCGGATGTAATGACAGGGAGGAGGAAGGCAAGTGGATGCAGTCTAGTGGCGGAGGAGAATGCAACTTCTTCAAATGGGCACCAGGAGAACCGCTTGGTGTATATAGCGATTGTATACAGCTGTGGCGTGGACAAAACGGTCTCATGGATGACACCGGCTGCGGCTATTTGAGGTCCGTCATCTGTGAGAGTCCCATTTCGCTTGCCGTGCCCACGATGTCCTGCCTGCAACGCTACGCCGACGCCCGCTCCTCATCCCACTGCCTCACCGGTCACGTCATCAAGGAGTTCTCGGCCAAGGGTGTCATCGAGTGCGGCTTGGCGTGCCTTGATGAGCCTCGATGCCGCTCCTTCAATCTGCGACGAGGCGGCCCCGGAGAGATGATTTGTCAGTTGAATAACATCACCCGTAACGAAGCCGACGTGAAGAACATACGGCTGGACAACGGCTGCAAATATTTTGAATTCTATGTTAAGTGTGTGACAGCCGCTTAACACAAAGCTGTGGTGAAGGTATAATCATTCGATGTACCTTAAATCACAGTATAATGATATTTTTGCACGTGGACATTCAGCAAGTACTTCTATATACGAAGTTCAAGCCTGTCCTGACACTCGAGAAAAGACAACATTTCAGGTGGATATGGGCAGATACAGAGATCACACTGTAGGAAAGGATCCGGAAACTTATAGCCAGTAGCTAGATTCACTCTAAAAAGTCCCTGGTCAGATTGACCCGGAATACGGACTCTATTTGGTCGAATGCTTTACAGGGTCAAAATAGACACTTCAGCGGGTCAAAATGACGCACACGACAGAACAGAAAACTTTACGCTGATGTGTACGACCGGTTACTAGACAACATGTTTTGTAGTTTATTGTAAATTGATTGTAAATAGTTTTCTGCAGTTGATTCACAGTAAAAACATTCTGTTGATTAGGTTTGGCAGTGAAACACCCATTTAAGCTTGCACAAAATTGTACTGTACATTAACAAACATAATAACAAGAAGAGAATTAACACAGTCTATATATAGGCCTGGGCCTATTTAGGCACATTTCACTGCAGTTCCGTAATTTTCCAATCGTGCATACTGTTGATTTTGTTGTAGACTAAAATTCACAGTCGGTGTTGGAGCGCAAGATTTTAAGCTGTTTGTTTAATTATGTGTTTGATCGTTGTGTTGGAATTAAGCGGAAGAGTTTCGTACGTAAACGACTGATGAGGACGTTTAATGAATGAGCGATGTTTTCAAAGGTTACTAGACAACATGTTTTGTAGTTTAAATTGATTGTATATGGTTTTCTGCAGTTGATGCACGGTAATAACATTCTGAAGATTAGATATGGCAGTGAATCACCACTCTAAACTTGCACAAATATTGTACTGTAACAAACATAAAAATTAGAGAATTAACACAGTCTATATTATAGGCATATTTATGCACATTTCACTGCAATTCCGTGTTTTTCCAATCGTGAATACTGTTGACTTTGTTGTAGACTAAAATTCACAGTCGGTGATGGAGCGCAAGATTTTAAGGTGTTTGTTTTGTTATTGGTTTGAGCATTATTTTGGAATTAAGCGGAAGAGTTCCGTACGTAAACGACTGATAAGGACTTTTAATGAATGAGCGATGTTTTTTTTCATAGCACGCAACGAGATTTCTTCATTTGGATCAAAAGGAAGCTGGGAACAACAAAAATGGCGTACTCTTTTTTTCGGCCAAGCCGTGCAAATAACATTGAACAGAATGAATCTATGGCTATTAAAAAAACCTAAAATATTACTTCCTTCTTCATGGACTGATTTCCTTATATAAAACATGGGATCAGTTCTAAATAAAATCAGGCCAAGCGCACAGTCTAGAAAACGAACTTGACAACATGGCGGGGGTTTGTTTAGTTGTTAGTTTGATCGTTGTTTTGGAATTAAGCGGAAACGACTGATATGGACGTTTAGTGAGTGACGGATGTTTCTTCATATCATATTAAGATATTTCTTCGTTTGAATCAAAAGGAAGCTGGCCAATAAAAAATCGTCCGTGCTGAATCTGGCTATTAAAATAATATTATTAAACATTTTAATTCCTTCTACGTAAACTGATTCATTATATTAAGAAAGTGGGATCAGTTCTACATGATAAAATCGATCTTAGCGCACCGTCTTCAAAACGAACTAGACAACATGGCGGTGATCATAGACGTTCGTCTTTGCATTTTTTAGTTCCTAAAAGTTTGAGTAAAGCAGAGTTGAATCGCCGAGGGATTGAAAGAAGGTTGTGGGTGTTTTTTTTCAGAAATATTATAATTGAAGAGATCGTTAATTGGCATCAATTAAGGTTTTGCTAAGTTACAACGTAATGTTCTTACCGTCGTAGCCCCCCCCCCTCAAATATGGACTGCGATGCTCTAAAACAATACAGCAAACACTCAACAATGAAATACAAGTTGATTAAAAAAAATCAGGCACCAACTACAAAGGTCGAACCGGTAACCCTATCAGGACCAGGCTATTTTGGGTCTGCCAAGGACTAGGGGGCACATCATTGTGACTCTCCTATCCCTATATCCCTACGTCTGACAGCCGCTTAACACAAACATTCTGGCGAAGGTATATTGGTCTACATTTAAATCGCAGTACACACAAAGATTTTTTTTTTACATAGGCATCAAGCAAGTAGTACTCTGACAAAAGATGCAGCCTGTGCTGACACTCGAGAAAAGACACCATTTTGATTCCTTGAATCAAGCAGGCGGATATTGACGCATCTAGAGATCAGACTGTAGGTGGAGGATCTGCCCAACGTTTGACAGCCGCATAACACAAAGTTGAGGCAAAAGAATAGTCATTTTATTCACAATATATGAACGCAATTATTTTTGAGACTCAAGAAAAGACATTATTAAGATTCCTTGGATCAAGGAGTAGGATATGGTCGCATCTAGAGATCAAATTGTCGGGGAGGATCTGGAGACTTATAGCCAGAAGCTAAATACACTCTAAAAACTTTCTCAGATTGACCAGGAATACGGACTCTATTTGACGGTATGCTTAGCAGGGTCTAAATTGACACTTTTTTCTGTTAAAAAATGACACCAGCAACAGAAAAATGTATACTTATGTGCACGACAGGTTAACAACCAAACTATTTGGTGGTTTACTTTATTGTAAATGGATCTCTGAACGACTCTTGATTTTTCTTACAGTAGTTGCGACGAAGGATGTCCCCACACCATTTTTTAAAATTTCAGGGACTGAAGATCCTTCCAAAAAGAAAGGAGTGAGCAATTTTTAATTATCATTGTTTTATTAAAATGAGAAAAAGCTACTTGTTGACTTTCTATGTTAACGTTTTCAACCTCTGAAAATACGCTTATATTTTGGGTTCTTATTGCGTCCATAATGCACAAAAAGCCTATTATTGTCTGGCCAGAAATGTTTCGAATTTTTTGAAGTAGATATGGCATAACTCAACTAATTTTTTGTTTGATGTCTCATACAAAAGCAACAGACTATGATACTACTAGCCGAGAAAACAACAATCTGAAAACAGCATCTTTTTTTCGGGGAACTCTTTAAACTACAGATTTGCGTCTTGAAGGTTTTAGTATTCACGCCACAACAGCCATGAGCTATTTAATGGGTTTTTTTTTTTATAACAATTGTACTTGAAAAGTTTACAGTACAGCAGCATACGCGCGTGCAGATACTCACCTGATTCTTTTTAACTATCCTCTGTATAATTATTACACGCGCTATTTTTCAACCCTCAATCCTCAACCTTCAACATCAACATCAACAATCAATATTAACATCAACATCAACAATCAACAATCAATATTAACATCAACATCAACATCAACAATCAACGTCAACGACAACAATGGCCCAACACCCTGTTGTTGTTCCTACAACCTGTAGTAAATACTGCCACTGCTTCGAAAGCATCGCTCCATGGAGTACATGCATGTCACAAACCTCTTCGGTCAGAGCCTGCTCGATCGAAACATTTTCAAGAATATAATGGTGACTGATGGACACACAATAGGCAATCAGTATGGGTAAGGTTGGTATGGAAACTGAACAAAGTATTAAGGCAACCAGCCCCTCCCCCTAATGAATACACAGCATTCAAATTTCTTAGGAGCTATTGTCTCTCGTCTACTAAGTGCGAACACACTGATGATGGACGCAGCCATAATACCTATGGGTGCCGTTTTTTTTAAACCTACGGCCTTCATCAGAGCGTAATGAAAATCACACAGCCATTGGCAGTTAAGTAACTCCTGTAATTGCTCATCGAATGCTGTGTGTGGTCTGCGTATAGATTCGTGCAATTTGAAAAGTCACAGGCTTTGTCGACGAGGCTTTTATTTCAAAAGCTGCATTTAAACGATCGTCTGTTTTATTTCTCCTCGCAAAACTTGAAACTTTAATTACAAGATCGTTCAACGTTAACACGTGCGGATTCAGGTTGCACGATGAAGCTGATTCGATTGAGTGGTTTTATCATTTGCGCGTGTTTTTACGCCGAGGCCTGCCAACCCGTCCAGGAGACATTCGGGGGATCTTGCTATCAACTCCTGACCGAGACAATGACGTGGGACCAGGGTGATGCTGCCTGCTCGGAGATGGGCGCTGCTTTGGCCGTTCCTGACTCCTTGGAGGAACATCAGTTCATCTGGGAGATGTTCACAGGGATCGTTACAGTTGGGAATCTTTGGATCGGATGTAATGACAGAGAGGAGGAAGGCAAGTGGATGCAGTCTGGTGAGGGAGGAGAATGCAACTTCTTCAATTGGGCACCAGGAGAACCGCGTGGTGTTTATAGCGATTGTATACAGCTATGGCGTTTACCGAACGGTCTCATGGATGACAAAGGCTGCAGCTATCCGAGGTCCGTCATCTGTGAGAGTCCCGTTCCGCTTGCCGTGCCCACGATGTCCTGCCTGCAACGCTACGCCGACGTCCGCTCCTCATCCCACTGCCTCACCGGTCACGTCATTAAGGAGTTTTCAGCCAAGGGTGTTATCTCGTGCGGCTCGGCGTGCCGGGATGAGCCTCGATGCCGCTCCTTCAATCTGCGACGAGGTGGCCCCGGAGAGATGATTTGTCAGTTGAATAACATCACCCGTAACGAAGCCGACGTGAAGAACATACGGCTGGACAACGGCTGCAAATATTTTGAATTCTTAATGTTAAGCGTGTGACAGCCGCTTAACACAAAGCTGTGGTGAAGGTATAATCATTCGATGTACATTAATCACAGTATGAACGTAATGATATTTTTGCACGTAGACATTAAGCAAGTACTTCTCTATACGAAGTTCAAGCCTGTCCTGACACTCGAGAAAAGACAACATTTCAGGTGGATATGGGCAGATACAGAGATCAGACTGTAGGGGAGGATCCGGAAACTTATGGCCAGTAGCTAGATTCACTCTAAATAGTCCCTGGTCAGATTGACGCGGAATACGGACCCTATTTGGTGGAATGCTTTACAGGGTCAAAATAGACGCTTCACCGGGTCAAAATGACACACGCGACGGAACAGAAAACTTTACGCTGATGTGTGCGACCGGCTACTAGATAACATGTTTTGTAGTTTAAATTGATTGTAAATGGTTTTCTGCAGTTGATTCACAGTAATAACATTCTGTAGAATGGATATGGCAGTGAATCACCACTCTAAGCTTGCACAGTCTGTATTAGGCCAAAAAAAAGTATTCGGTCTCTGGTCAGCGCGCGCGTCGATTTTAATCATGCCCGTCAACCTTTTTTTTTCCAAAATGTTTTTTTACCAAAGAGCACCAAGGAATGGGAAATTGCACCAAAGCAAATGATTGAGAGCACCAAGGCAAATTATGTAGGACACCAATGTACATGAGGACACCAAAAAGGCAAAATAGTACCCCACCTTGTCTGTACAATCCAAGCTTGAAGAAAAAAAAAAAAGCCAAAAAAAAAAAAAGCCGCGTCCCCGCGTCAATTCCGGAACTTTGGTCTGACCAGAGACCGAATGTATATTTTTTTTGGCCTTATAGGCCTATTTATGCACATTTCACTGCAGTTCCGTGTTTTTCCAATCGTGAATACTGTTGACTTTGTTGTAGACTAAAATTCACAGTCGGTGTTGGAGCGCAAGATTTTAAGGTGTTTGTTTTGTTATCGGTTTGATCATTATTTTGGAATTAAGCGGAAGAGTTCCGTACGTAAACGACTGATAAGGACTTTTAATGAATGAGCGATGTTTTTTTGTTTCATAGCACGCAACGAGATTTCTTCATTTGGATCAAAAGGAAGCTGGCAACAACGAAAATGGCGAACTCTGTTTTTCGGCCAAGCCGTGCAAATAACATTGAACAGAATGAATCTATGGCTATTAAAAAAACCCTAAAATATTACTTCCTTCTTCATGGACTGATTTCCTTATATAAAACATGGGATCAGTTCTAAATAAAATCAGGCCAAGCGCACAGTCTAGAAAACGAACTTGACAACATGGCGGGGGTTTGTTTAGTTGTTAGTTTGATCGTTGTTTTGGAATTAAGCGGAAACGACTGATATGGACGTTTAGTGAGTGACGGATGTTTCTTCATATCATATTAAGATATTTCTTCGTTTGAATCAAAAGGAAGCTGGCCAATAAAAAATCGTCCGTGCTAAATCTGGCTATTAAAATAATAATTATCAAACATTTTAATTCCCTCTACGTAAACTGATTCATTATATTAAGAAAGTGGGATCAGTTCTACATGATAAAATCGAGCTTAGCGTACCGTCTTCAAAACGAGCTAGACAACATGGCGGTGATAATGGACGTTCGTCTCCAAATTGCTTGGCAATTGTTGCTATTTCTTGGACAATGCAAAAGTATATAGGTCTTGTATAGTGTTTGCATTTTTTAGTTCCTAAAAGTTTGAGTAAAGCAGAGTTGAATCGCCGAGGGATTGAAAGAAGGTTGTGGGTGTTTTTTCCCCAGAAATATTATAATTGAAGAGATCGTTAATTGGCATCAATTAAGGTTTTGCTAACTTACAACGTAATGTTCTTACCGTTGTAACCCCCCCTCCCCCAAATATGGACTGCGATGCTCTAAAACAATATAGCAAACACTCAACAATGAAATACAAGTTGATAAAAAAAAATCAGGCACCAACTACAAAGGTCGAACCGGTAACCCTATCAGGACCAGGCTATTTTGGGTCTGCCAAGGACTAGGGGGCACATCATTGTGCTTCTCCTATCCCTATATCCCTACGTCTGACAGCCGCTGAACACAAACATTGTGGCGAAGGTATATTGGTCTACATTTAAATCGCAGTACACGCAAAGATTTCTTTTTTTTTACATAGACATCAAGCAAGTTGTACTCTGACGAAAGATGCCGCCTGTGCTGACACTCGAGAAAAGACACCATTTTGATACCTTGAATCAAGTAGGCGGATATGGGCGCATCTTATACAAAAGCGACAGATGTTTTTGCTAGCCGAGAAAACAGCAATTTGAAAACAACATCTAGTTTCGGGGGAACTCTAAACAACAGCTTTGCGTTTTGAAGGTTCTAGAATTCACGCCACAACACGAACCTCCTCGGTTAGGACACGCTCTATCGATACGACCTTTTTCTAAGCTATCTAATGACTCATTGGATAGCTATAGCAAATCAAAACGATTAAAGGTAACGTGACAAAGTTTAGCTCATCCAACTTTATTGTCCAGAGCTAGCTCGGCGCCCATCACTATAGCTACATCCATTGTCAGCATCTGCCCACGTAGTTTGCAATGCAAGACCGAGACGATTGCTCTCGACAATAAATTCGGATGCGTTAAAGATTTTGTGTTTACCTCGATCTAATCTTCGTCACGTTTCCACAGCAACCTTCGCCATATTGATTGCCCATGAGCCATTATGCGGCCTTAATCTGAAATCTGAAATAATGAAAAGCACGCAGCCGTTTTGGCAATTAACGTACGTTACTGCTGGATGGAGCAACACGGTTTTGGTATGAACAAGGGATCCGTGCCAATTTAAGTATCACAGACTCTGTCGCCGGTCCATGAGGTCTCCGTTTTTGAATTCTACCTAAAATGTCAGCAGTGAAACTTTTTAACGATTGGTTGTTCCATTCGCTTTGATATAATTATCAGATGGTTCAATTTTAACACGTACAAATCGATCAGGACGCACGATGAAGCTGATTTGGCTGAATGCAATCGTGTGTGCGTGTTTTTACGCCGAGGCTTGCAAACCCGGCCAGCAGAGATTCGGGGGTTCTTGCTATCAACTCCTGAACGAGAGTATGACGTGGGACCAGGGTGATGCTGCCTGCTCGGAGATGGGCGCTGTCTTGGCTGTTCCTGACTCCTTGGAGGAGCATCAGTTCATCTGGGAGATGTTCACAGGGATTGTTACAGTTGGGAATCTTTGGATCGGATGTAATGACAGGGAGGAGGAAGGCAAGTGGATGAAGTCTAGTGAGGGAGGAGAATGCAACTTCTTTGACTGGGCACCAGCAGAACCAAGTGGTGGATATAGTCATATAAATTGTATGCATCTGTGGCGTTACGAAAACGGTCTCATGGATGACGATGTCTGCTCGGTTCCCAGGTCCGTCATCTGTGAGAGTCCCGCTCCGCTTGCCATGCCCACGATGTCCTGCCTGCAACGCTACACCGACACCCGCTCCTCATCCCACTGCCTCACCGGTCACGTCATGGAGGAGTTCTCGGCCAAGGGTGTCATCACGTGCGGCTCGGCGTGCCGGGATGAGCCGCGATGCCGCTCCTTTAATCTGCGACGAGGCGGCCCCGGAGAGTTGATTTGCCAGTTGAATAACATCACCCGTAACGAAGCCGACGTGAAGAACATACGGCTAGACAACGGCTGCAAATATTTCAATTTCTAAAGAATAAATGTCTGGCAGCCGCTTAACACAAAGTTGTGGTGAAGGTTTAACCATTCGGTGTATATTTAAATCGAAGTAGGTGAAGGTAACCATTTTTTTGTACGTAAACATCAAGCAAGTGGGTCTCGAACAAAAGATGTAGCGCGTCCTAATCTGACTCGAGTAAAAGACAACACTTTGATTCCCTGAATGAAGCGGGTCCATGGGCAGATCTAGAGATCAGACTGTAGCGGGAGGATCTAAATACTTCTAGCCAGTAGCTAGATAGACTCTAAACAGTCCCTGGTCAGATTGACCCGGAATCCTAGCTCTATTATGCCTTATATTTTTCAACGTCAATTTCACACTTTTTCTGTGTCAAAATGACACAAACGTTTCGCTCATGGCTATGACAGGTTACTAGTCAATTTATTTTGTAGTTTAAGGTAATTGTAAAAAGTTTTCGGCACGCACTTGATTTTTCGCAGTAGTTTAGATGTGGCAGTGAATCACCATTTGAAGTTGGCACATTATGTATGTACAATAATATTAATAATATAATTATAATAAGCGAACAAGAACAGTGCAAGCCTATTTATTCACATTTAACATGCTGTTCCTTGCTTTTCTAATCGTGGATGCTGTTGCTTTTGTCGTAAAGTTAAATTGGCAGTCAATTTTGGAGCGAATGATTTTAAACTGTTTGTTACTTTATTGGCATTATCAATAATTTGAAATTACATGACGTGGAAGAATATATTACGTACACGATTGATAAGGAAGTTGAATGAATACGTGATTTCTTCGTTTTGGATCGAAAGGAAGGTGGCACAACATAAAACAATTGCCAAACTCTGTTTTTCGGCCATGCTAATATCATTGGATAGAACGAATCTGGCTAAAGAATAACAACATGTTACTTCCCTCTGCATGGAATGACTGCCGTTTATAAGAAAAGTGGGATCCGCTCATGGCGGGGATCATGGACGCAAGTCTCCAAATTGCTTGACAATTGTTGCTATGTCTTGGAAAATGCAAAGTAGCTTTTGAACTGTTTTTGCGCTTTTTCCCAGTTCATTTTGAATGAATAAGGGATAGAGAGGTGAATCACCTTGAAATTGAAGGAGGGTTGTGGGTGTGTTTTTTTTCTTCAAAAATGAGTAGGTACAGCCTACAGGTAATAAACAACATAGGCGTTGAGGGTTTGTTCAAAGTTTTAGTGTTATGTCACCACCATCAAAGAACAAAAGTAATGACTTCGAAATCTTAAAAACAAAAGATACAAACAAACTGAAGTAATAATTCAAATGAGTGTGTGGATGAGGTTTTTCTATTTTTTTCTCTCATTTTTTTCTACAGCCCTGGAAATTGGATTTTATCAAGGGTATTGTATGTTATACTGTTCAGCCTTTGAAGCCGCAAGCTTATCCTTTGCTCCATATGCTATGAAGGACACAGCATGGTGGTTGCAGTACTTTTAATAATTCTTCAAACTGGTATGAAGGAAACAGTATGTCCTATTGCATTTGCAATACCTGTAAGAGTTATCTGGCAGACCGTGAATACTGCGAGGAATTCTGTGCTTGATACCGCCGGATGTAGCCTCATTTGGCACGCGGTGCGGTGCCGTTTCCTTATCGATTTCTGACTCTGCGACTGCGATGGGCTTTATTGTTCGTGTTCTAGATGACATTTTTGAAATTGCCACAGAGTTCTCAAGGACTGTCGTTTTCCATCACCGCTTCCATCACAAGAACCGCCAATGATTGTTAACGAAGTATCAAGGCACCCCCCCCAAATAAAAGAATCATAGACGGCGTTCAAATTTCTTTTTTTTTTCAGCGCGTTTGTCAAGGTCATCGTATATTACACTTACTTGGGCAGATGCTAACGATGAACATATCGATAATACAATTTTAGCTGCAGGCGACTGGTTTAGACACGATCTTGCCGGGAGTGTTATGAAAACCACGCAGCCATAAAACGCAGCTACTAAATAACTCGGTTATTGCTCGTGGAAACATCAGTGTGTGATCAACATCCATCCCGTTATAAATATCGCCGGAGTTGCCGACGAGATTTTCATCTAAGGCCCTGCCTCCAGTTAAAGCACTATGAAGCTGCTTTGGCTGAATGCTGCGGTCGTGTGTGCGTGCTTTTACACCGAGGCTTGCCAACCCGGCCAGCAGAAATTCGGAGGTTCTTGCTATCAACTCCTAACCGAGAGAATGACGTGGGACTAAGGTGATGCTGCCTGCTCGGAGATGGGCGCTGTCTTGGCGGTTCCTGACTCCTTGGAGGGACGTCGGTTCATCTGGGAGATGTTCACAGGGATTGTTACAGTTGAAGATCTTTGGATCGGATGTAATGACAGAGAGGAGGAAGGCAAGTGGATGCAGTCTAGTGAGGGAGGAGAATGCAACTTCTTTGACTGGGCGCCAAGACAACCAAGTGGTGGATATAGTCATATTGATTGTATGCATCTGTGGCGTTACGAAAACGGTCTCATGGATGACGATGTCTGCTGGGGTCCCAAGTCCGTCATCTGTGAGAGTCCCGCTCCGCTTGCCATGCCCACGATGTCCTGCCTGCAACGCTACACCGACGCCCGCTCCTCACCCCACTGCCTCACCGGTCACGTCATGGAGGAGTTCTCGGCCAAGGGTGTCATCACGTGCGGCTCAGCGTGCTGGGATGAGCCTCGATGCCACTCCTTCAACACGCGACGAGGCGGCCCCGGAGAGCTGATTTGCCAGTTGAATAACATCACCCGTAAGGTAGCCAACGTGAAGAACATACGACTGGACAACGGCTGCAAATACCTTGATTTCTAAATGCTGAACGTTATACAGCCGCATAACACAATGTTGTGGCGAAGGTATAGTCATCCGATGTACATTTATTCGCAGTGTATGAACGTAATCATTTTTGAGACTCCAGAAAAGACAACATTTTGATTCCTTGAATCAAGCAGGTGGATATGGGCGTATCTAGAGATCAGACTGTAGGGGGAGGATCAGGATACTTCTAGCTATAGTATGTAGGTACACTTTAAAAGTTCGTTAGTCAGATTGACCCGGAATACGGACTCTCTTTGAATGAATGTTTTACAGGGTCAAAATTGACACTTTTCTGGGTCAAAATGACACACGCGATTCGCTTGTATCCCCCCGCCCTGCAAACAGGGCGCTGGGAAGGGCTGATGAGCTTTACATAATCTTGTGAAGGAAGTGACCTACGACCTATATATAAAGCATCTGGCTGCAGCTGTTCAAGACCACAGTTAGACAATGCGCGCAAATGCTATCCTAAAACTCCCCATAGAAATGCAGTAAATGCACACACATTCCATACCGGATGTGATTTCTTTTTCATTGCGGACTATGTGGACAAATTTGAGTGTCGCATAATGCAACCATTGACCCTTCGTGAATTTGAAATGGACCCTGAGAAAGTGACGGGAATCGCAAATTTACAACACATATAAGATTTACAGATTTTTCTACATTATAACGTTTTTCAAAGAAAACAAAGCATTTGTGAATTGGATAAAAAGAGTAATGAATCAGTCCTATCGGCCGTTTAAAACTTAGCAGTGTCATGGTCGTGATGACTTGCTGGTCTCAGGTCACGCAAAATCTATCCAATCAGAGCGTGAATTCATCGGTCCTTCCTAGCGTCCTGTTTGCAGGGCGGGGGATACGAGCGAACACACGCGACTGAAAACTTTACGCTCATGTGTACGACAGGTTACTAGACAAAATGCGTTTTGTGGTTTAAATTGATTGTAAATGGTTCTCTGCACACGACACCTGATTTTTTTTTTTTTACAGTAATAATATTCTATATTTTAGATATGGGAGTGAATCACCACTTTAAGCTTGCACATTCATGTACTATGACATTAGCATTATTATAAGAAGAGAATGAGGCCTTTTTATTATACTACAAATCCGTGTTTTTCTTTGTATGTTGTTGATTTTGTTGTAGACTAACATTCACATCGGCGCTGGAGCGCAAGATGTTAAGCTGTTTGTTTAGTTGTTGGTTTGATCATTATTTTGGAATTAAGCGGAAGAGTTCCGTACGTAAACGACTGATGATGACGTTTAGTGAATGAGTGAAGTTTCTTCATATCACGCAACCAACATTTCTGGCCAAAAAAAACCCTTTTTTCCAGGTTAAGAAGCTTACGGGCCAACTCGCACCAGGGTCAACTCGTACCTGGGTCAACTCGTACCTTTTGTTATTGGCCATTTTGGGCTCCAAGAAGATGTTTTATATAAACCAAACCTAACATAAAATGTGCAAATCCCGTGAAGAGAATGGAGTTTTCTTTCAGTCTTGAAACTGAGTTCTTCATGACCATTTTAGTTCAGCGAAGATACCTGGGTACGATTGGTATGGTGCATGCAGCGATCATTTGTAGTAAAAAAAAAACCTGTACAGTTTCCTTACCGGGTTTCAACCATTCAGACACGTTGGAAGTTGTATTTTTGTAGCAACTGTAATTCAATAAATATGATGTTTTAAAAATTATACGCAAGTAGCCCGCAAACAATTGTCTTTTTTTCTGCTGACCAATCAGTTCATGATATCACTTCTATTACGACCCAATCGATGATTTGCTTACAGCAGACCTGTGTTTTGAAGGTTTTAGAATCTACGCCAAAACACGAACCTCAACAGGTAGAACACACGCGATCGATACGACCCTTCTTCCTTGTTATCTAATTGTTCATGGGCGCGCAATAGCCAACCAATATGGCTAAGGTTGCTGTGGAAACGTAAGTATATATCAAGGTTAACACAAAATTTAAACCGCTTCTGAATTTCTCGTCCAGAGTTATTGTCTATGTCTTACAATTACAATTACGTGGGCAGATGCTGACACAATGGATTTAGCCGTAGCTCAGATTTCGACACGGTCCTAATCTGAATTTAATGAAAAACCACTCGGCCATCTTAGAATTAACTCCTGTCAGGCTGAATGAAACAACACGGCTTGGTAAGAGATCTGATTCATTCCAAATTTCACAGACGTTGTCAATGGTCAATAGGGGTTCATTCTAGAATTCTATGTAAACGATCAGTAGTGAGACTTTCAGACGATTAGTTGTTCTATTCATCTGAACAAATCTTGAAATATTCATTGCAAGATCGTTCAACTTTAACGTAGGCCTACGATTCCATGTTGCATGATGAAGCTGATTTGGTTGAGTGTTTTTATCGTGTGTGTGTGGTTTTACGCCGAGGCTTGCCAACCCGGCCAGGAGAGATTCGGGGGTTCTTGCTATCAACTTTTGACCGAGAGAACGACGTGGGACCAGGGTGATGCTGCCTGCTCGGAGATGGGCGCTGCTTTGGCGGTTCCTGACTCCTTGGAGGAACATCAGTTCATCTGGGAGATGTTCACTGGGAATGTTAGTGCGGGACATCTTTGGATCGGATGTAATGACAGGGAGGAGGAAGGCAAGTGGATGAAGTCTAGTGGGGGAGGAGAATGCAACTTTTTCAAATGGGCATCAGGAGAACCAAATGGAGGAGATAGTCATATCGATTGCATGCAACTGTGGCGTAATGGAAACGGTCTCATGGATGACACCGACTGCGCCTATCAAATTTTCGTCATCTGTGAGAGTCCCGTTACGCTTGCCGTGCCCACGATGTCCTGCCTGCAACGCTACGCCGACGCCCGCTCCTCATCCCACTGCCTCACCGGTCACGTCATTAAGGAGTTCTCGGCCAAGGGTGTCATCGCGTGCGGCTCGGCGTGCCGGGATGAGCCTCGATGCCGCTCCTTCAATTTGCGACGAGGCGGCCCCGGAGAGTTGATTTGTCAGTTGAATAACGTCACCCGTAATGAAGCCGACGTGAAGAACATACGGCTGGACAACGGCTGCAAATATTTTGAATTCTAAATGTTAAGCGTATGACAGCCGCTTGACACAAAGCTGTGGCGAAGGTATAATCATTCGATGTACCTTAAATCACAGTATGAACGTAATGATATTTTTGCACGTAGACATTCAGCAAGTACTTCTATTTACGAAGTTCAAGCCTGTCCTGACACTCGAGAAAAGACAACATTTCAGGTGGATATGGGCAGATACAGAGATCAGACTGTAGGGGAGGATCCGGAAACTAATAGCCAGTAGCTAGATTCACTCTAAAAAGTCCCTGGTCAGATTGACCCAGAATACGGACTCTATTTGGTCGAATGCTTTACAGGGTCAAAATAGACACTTTATCGGGTCAAAATGACACACGCGACAGAACAGAAAACTTTACGCTGATGTGTACGACCGGTTACTAGATGTTTTGTAGTTTAAATTGATTGTAAATGGTTTTCTGCAGTTGATTCACAGTAATATCATTCTGTTGATTAGATATGGCAGTGAAACACCCATGTAAGCTTGCACAACATGTACTGTACAGTAACAAACATAATAATAAGAAGAGAATTAACACAGTCTATATACAGACCTGGGCCTATTTATGCACATTTCACTGCAGTTCCGTGCTTTTCCAATCGTGAATACTGTTGATTTTGTTGTAGACTAAAATTCACAGTCGGTGTTGGAGCGCAAGATTTTAAGCTGTTTGTTTAATTATGTGTTTGATCGTTGTGTTGGAATTAAGCGGAAGAGTTTCGTACGTAAACGACTGACGAGGACATTTAATGAATGAGCGATGTTTTTTCAAAGGTTACTAGACAACATGTTTTGTAGTTTAAATTGATTGTATATGGTTTTCTGCAGTTGATGCACGGTAATAACATTCTGAAGATTAGATATGGCAGTGAATCACCACTCTAAACTTGCACAAATATTGCACTGTAACAAACATAAAAATTAGAGAATTAACACAGTCTGTATTATAGGCCTATTTATGCACATTTCACTGCAGTTCCGTGTTTTTCCAATCGTGAATACTGCTGATTTTGTTGTAGACTAAAATTCAAAGTCGGACTTGGAGGGCAATATTTTAAGCTGTTTGTTTAGTTATTGGTTTGATCATTGTGTTGGAATTAAGCGGAAGAGTTCCGTACGTAAACGACTGATGAGGACGTTCAATGAATGAGCGATGTTTTTTTCATAGCACGCAACGATATTTCTTCATTTGTATCAAAAGAAAGCTGGCAACAACAAAAATGGCGAACTCTGTTTTTCGGCCAAGCCGTGCAAATAACATTGAACAGAATGAATCTATGGCTATTTAAAAAAAACCACTAGAACATTAATTCCTTCTTCATGGACTGATTTCCTTATATAAAACATGGGATCATTTCTACATAAAATCAGGCCGAGCGCACAGTCTAGAAAACGAACTTGACAACATGGCGGGGTTTGTTTAGTTGTTATCGTTATTTTGAAATTAAGCGGAAACAACTGACATATGGACGTTTAGTGATTGACGGATGTTTCTTCATATCATATTAAGGTATTTCTTCGTTTGAAACAAAAGGAAGCGGGCCAAAAAAAATCGTCCGTGCTGAACCTGGCTATTAAAATAATACTTATCAAAATTTTAATTCCTTCTACGTAAACTGATTCTTTATATTATGAAAGTGGGATCAGTTCTACATGATAAAATCGAGCTTAGCGCACCGTCTTCAAAACGAACTAGACAACATGGCGGTGATAATGGACGTTCGTCTCCAAATTGCTTGGCAATTGTTGCTGTTTCTTGGACAATGCAAAAGTAAATAGGTCTTGTATAGTGTTTGCATTTTTTAGTTCCTAAAAGTTTGAGTAAAGCAGAGTTGAATCGCCGAGGGCTTGAAAGAAGGTTGTGGGTGTTTTTTTCAGAAATATTATAATTGAAGAGATCGTTAATTGGTATCAATTAAGGTTTTTCTAAGTTACAACGTAATGTTCTTACCGTTGTAGCCCCCCCCCCCCTCAAATATAGACTGCGATGCTCTAAAACAATATAGCAAACACTAAACAATGAAATAAAAGTTGATTAAAAACTTGCAGGCACCAACTACAAATGATTTGCCAGTTGAATAACATCACCCATAAGGAAGCCAACGTGAAAAACATACGACTGGACAGCGGCTGCAAATATTTTGAATTCTAAATGTTAAGCGTATGACCGCCGCTTAACACAAAGTTCTGGCGAAGGTATAATCATTCAATGTACATTAAATAACAGTATGAACGTAATGATATTTTTGCACGGAGACATCAAGCAAGTACTTCTCTTTACGAAGGTGAAGCATCCTGAAACTCGAGAAAAGACAACATTTTGATTCCTTCAATCAAGCAGGGGAATGGTCTGCATTCAGGAAATGACACTCAATTGCTTCAACCTCCGTTGTAGTTCTGTGGGCATTTTCAACCACAATGGCTTGGTTTAAACAGCACTCAAAAGCATAAAATCCTGTTTGTGTCCCGTGGTTTCTATAAACCCAGCCTTTCCCCGTTTTATCGAATTTCCATGGTCTGGCAAGTTTTAGTATTTTTGGTCATCCCCCACTAGTGGCACGGATTTACGCAAGTGCTCACTCCACAACACGAAACTCAACAGGCAGAACAAAATTGGATCGATACGACCTTTTCCTAGCTATCTAATGGCTAATAGGCACGCAATAGCCAAAGAGTTGTCTATGCGCCTATAGTAGCGAATCAACGTGGTTACGGTTGCCAAAGAAACCAAAGAATCACAAACGGCATCTAAATTTCTTAATCAGAGACAGAGGCTATGTCTAGGTCTTACGATGACGTGGGCAGATACTAACTCGAGGACGTAGCCAGATCTAAGCGTTGGGTCTTGGGCACGGCTTTAATATGATTTTAATGAAAACTGCGCAGCCATCTTGGCAATGACTCCGTTATGAAACGACATTTTCTGGGAAACAGATCAGTGCCATTTCAAATATCACAGGCGTTGTTGACGAGGGTTTTATTTTCGAATTCTACCGAGACGTTCTGCAGTGAGACTTTCTGACGATTGGCTGTTGCATATCCTCGGTGAAAACAGGAATTATCTTGAAATATTATTGTTTATCTTTAACACTTACTAAATCAGGTCGCACGATGAAGTTACTTTGGCTGAATATTGCGATCATGTGTGCGTGTTTTCACGCCGAGGCTTGCCAACCCGGCCAGCAGAGATTCGGAGGTTTTTGCTATCAACTCCTGAACGAGAGTATGACGTGGGACCAAGGTGATGCAGCCTGTTTGGAGATAGGCACTGCCTTAGTAATTCCAGAGTTCATGGATGAACAAAACTTCATCTATAAAATGTACGGAAAGAGTAAGGATCTCTGGATCGGATGTAATGACAAGGAGCAGGAAGGCAAGTGGGTGAAGTCTGGTGAAGAAGGAGAATGCAACTTTCTCAACTGGGCACCAGGAGAACCAACTGGGGGAGTTGGTTTCGATTGTATGCAAATGCGGCGTAGTTTCAATCTGATGGATGACACTCTGTGCAGTTTTCGAAAGGGCATCATCTGTCAGAGTCTCGCTCCGCTTGCCGTGCCCACGATGTACTGCCTGCAACCCTACGCCGACGCCCACTCCTCATCCCACTGCCTTACCGGTCACGTCATCAAGGAGTTCTCGGCCAAGGGTGTCATCGCGTGCGGCTCGGCGTGCCGGGATGACCCTGGATGTCGTTCCTTCAATCTGCGCCGAGGCGGTACCAGAGAGTTGATTTGCCAGTTGAATAACATCACCCGTAACGAAGCCGACGTGAAGAACATACGAATGGACAGTTTCTGCACATATTTCAATATCTAATTGCTGAATATAATATGACAGCCGCTTAACACAAGGTTCAAGTTGAAGCAAAGGTGTAACAATTCGGGGAACATTTACATTGCACTATACAACAGGGCAACAGCTGCGAACAAATTAATTTCTGAATGTTAGAAGTTTTGGCGCAGGCATGGCCATCCGGTATACATTTTAAATCGCAGAATATAAACGTAAACCATTTTTTTGTTGTACGTATGCATTAAGCAGTTGGTTCTTCAACGGCATATGCTGCGTGTCCTGACACGGCGCTCAAAAAATACAACATTTTGTTTCAATGAATCAGCGGGTCTATGGCTGGATCCAGAGATTAGAATGTATGTTAGCATCCATAATATATAAACATTGTCTAGATACACTCTGAAAAGTTCATGGTCAGATTGACCAGGGCTCTACTTTGCCTGACACTTTTCAACGTCAAATTAACACCTTTCTGTGTCAAACTGACACACACAACGGAAAACATTTCGCCGATAGCTATGACAGGTTACCAGTTATTGCTGCCGATAGAATGTTGCCGTTCAATATTATTGTAAATAGTACTCTGCACGTCTCTTGAATTTTCGTGTTATATCCATAGTTTATGGCAGCGAATCACTACTTATAGCTTGCATATCAATGTCAGTGGCGTAAAATTTGTGCCGGTGAGTGGGGAAGAAGGGGATAACCAAAATCTAAATATTGCTCGGTCCTCAAAATTAGATAATTGGGGGGATAAGGTTTCAGACAACATTGACATAATTATAAGAAGAGGATAAGGACAATTTAGGCCTTTTTATTCAAATTTCACTGCAGTTCCGTGTTTTTCCAATCGTGAATACTGTTGATTTTGTTGCAGACTAAAATTCACAGTCGGTGTTGGAGCGCAAGATTTTAAGCTGTTTGTTTAGTTATGTGATTGATCTTTGTTTTTGAAATTAAGTGGAACAGTTCTGTACGTAAACGACGTAAAGGACGTTTAATGAATGAGCGATGTTTTTTAATAGCACGCAACGACATTTCTTCATTTGGATCAAAAGGAAGCCGGTAACAACACAACTTCGTTTTTCAGCAATGCTAATAACATTGAACAGTCTAGAGAGAACAGAATGAATCTGGCTACTTAAATAACAACATTTCACCTCGTGGTCCATGGATTGTCCCCCTGATATTAAGAAGTGGGATCAGTTCTACAAGAAATGAGGCCTACAGTGCACAGTCACGAAAAACGATATTGACAACATGGCGGGGATCAAGGACCGTCGTCTCGGCAAATGTTGATATTTCTTGAACAACTCAGAAGTGGGTTCCGCATTATGTGCAAGTTTTCAGTTCCTACAAGATTTATGGAAAACAGAGTTGTGTCACCGGGTAATTGGAGGAAGGTTGTGGGTGGATGTTTTCTTTTCGAGGAAAAAAAACCTTTAAATTGAAGATTAATTGCTAAAATTCATGCACATTCTAAAAAAAAATAAATCCAATTGACCTGAATTCAAGGCTCTATTCGGCGATTACGGCCGAGAATTTCTCTCTTTTTAACGCATCCAATGGACACTTTTTCCGGGTCAAAGTGACACACATGACAAAAAAACGTTTCGCTCGCTGCTACGACAGGTTACCAGCCACAGTTATGTTATGTGGTTTAAGTAAATTTTTAATGGTTCTTCGCACGACACTTTTTTTCACAGCAATATAATATTTCGTAGTTTAGATATGGCAGTGAATCACCACTTTAAGCTGGCACATATACAGGGTGAGGTAAAAAAAAAAAAAAAAAAAAAAAAAACGAAACCAAAATGTCGGAATTATTGTTTTAGTGAAATTCTGCATGTAGCACTTTCAAAATCTAGGATATGAAAAAGGTGTGGGTTCTTTCAAGCAAAACGAAACCGATTCACACACATCCCTCTGTGATTTTTATTCGTTTTTCTGAAAAAAAAACACTTACCTTTTTGTGATCCGTGGACAGAACTTTATATTCCGTAACGTAAAAATTACATGACTGATATGAATGTTTCTTATACTAAAAGAAAGCTAATGAATTGGGCTGCCATATCCGAGAGTTTGAAAGTGCTACATGCAGAACTGCACTAAAACAATGGTCCCGACATTTGGGTTTCGGTGGTTTTTTTTTTTAGCTCACCCTGTACATGCAATGTGGCATAATTTTAAGAAGCGAATGGAAGCAATATGGGCCTATTTATTCACATTTTGCTGTAGTTACGTGTTTTCCAATCGCT